CAGTTACAATAAGGCAATATGGAGTTAGTTAATTAAATTATTAAGAAGTTAGTTAATCAGTAAATAGTACAAGCAGATAGTATACAGTGTTTTATAGTATTTGGAAGTATATTTGAAAGTATATTAAAATTATAATATCTATATGGTGATTGGAGATTATTAAGAAGAAAAATAAGAGTATAAGTAAGAAGCAAAGAAGAAACAATAAATAAAAAAGAATATTTTACCCATTTATAAATGCTATTAAGAAGAAAACTATTTTAAATTGGTAGAAGCTGATAATTAAAACATTCTGGTATATTTGGAAAAAGCAATTTTACAAAAACAAAGATAACCGAGGCTGATAAAGAAGATATTGAATGGTGATTATACCCTTTATTTTAGATAACAGTTTCATTTAGGCATTCAGTGATAGTAAGGTACCAAATTTTCTTAATATAATTTAATTATTGTAAGAATTTCAAATTTAAGATAGGTTGTTCTAAATTATTGTCTATGTTAGATATATATGTGTTTCATAATAGTTATAATAAAGATCATTTAAAAAAGTCTTACAAACTAATTCTTTGAGAACCGCGATAAAAACCCTATACTTATATATGTTATTTTAAATTATTCATAAATTATTCATTGTTCACACACAAACAAAACATCATAGCAATATATATATATATATATATATATATATATATATATATATATATATATATATATATAATATCTCCCCAGACTGGGATCTAACTTCATCGGTTTTACCAATGAACCTTAACGACATTGATATCAAAAGTACTACTTGTAATTGTTTCGGCGCTTGCGTTCTATGAAAACAGAAGCTCACATTCAAACTTTACAACAATTAAAAATTTAGTTATTGCCGACAATTCAAAGAATTACTTCCTTTAAATGTAGTTACATTGGGTTTTTCGATTGTCCTTGGGTAAACCTTTGCGTTTTAAGTTCAAAGCTACCATACATTTCCAACGTTAACAAAAATAACTTTTTTACACATAGTAACAAAAAAACAGCACTATGTTGTTACTAGCTAAAGTTTTTTAACATCATAACTCGACATTTTTAAAATTTACGGTAAGGGAAATGTTTTTTATTAGATAATATATGGTAGCTAATTATAATTTATTCTCTTTCAGCCCTGAAGAAGCCAAATTAATTTTCTTTGGCGAAAACGTTAGGTGAAATAATTGATACACATTAGAGTTTTTCTTGCATATTTTCCCAATATTTAAGAGTTTACTATATATATATATATATATATATATATATATATATATATTATATATATATATATATCGTCAAATATCTTTTTATGTAGAAGAATTTTTATGTTTTTTTCTTTTCGAGACATTGCATAATTTTTTAATAGACTTAAATAAAATATTTTTCTTGTAATGTTTAATATGATTTAAGTGGGACTAAACAATATATTTTTGGTTTCAGAGATTAAAAGATGGCACAATTCAATACAGCACTTCCAGTTCTTTTGTTCATAGTTTCGGTAGTATGGTGCCAACCCACCTCTGTGCCAGTAAATCAGACCGCCACACCAGTAGAAAGTACAACAGTATCTCCAGCGATACCCGAGAAATATGAATACATTGTTAAACTACTGTTCGGACTTGAAAACGAAAAAATACCGGAATTTATAGTCCACGCAATCTATGACGGTAATTTTACGACCCCTGCAGATTTAATAATGCTTTATGATATAGGAAACATTAGTTTAGCTCGAACTGTAGAAGTATTACAAAAACTAAAATATAACCCCTCTAATGTATTGAGCATGAAAGGCTTAGAAACCATATTAGATGATTTAAACGTAAGGTTTAAAAATTTCTATAATACAATATTTTTAGAAAAGTTAAACATATCCGGAGTTCATCTACGGAATTTTTTGCAAGCTTTAAATATTAACACCGCCGATTTTTCTGAGGCTATGACGTACGGAGATGAAGATCCATTGGTTATATTTAAAAAAGGAAATTTTTCTGCAGCAAGTTTTCAAAATGCGTTAAACATTATTAACGTGACAGAAGACGAATTCTACAGTGTTTGCAGGGATGAAATTTTCCGAATTGTTATTTCTGGAAACTCTACATCAGATGTCCTAAGTAATTTGAAAAAATATAATTTTGATCAACGTGAAGCACTTCAGTTATGGAAGATTATGAATTTGACTGGCGAGAATGTTGATAATGTACCAGTTTTTGCAGATTTACTGACAAGTCTTGAAGACAGTTTAAAAGATACCACTTATTTGGGTGTTATAACCAGCAACGTACAAGTAGGCATTAACGAAGCTGTTTACGATGATATTAAAGATAAAATGAAATTGGCAAAATTGTATGCTCAGTCTATTTATAATAATAATACAGTGGCGTTAATTTCAGAGAAAAGTGATTTTACAGATTTAGTAACATTTAAAGTACAAAATCATAATTTTACAAAATATGCTCAGATAGCAACAACGAATAAAGATCTCACTAACTGTGTTTTTGTAACAGTTAATAATGGTACAGTTATTAGTACAAAAATAGATATAGCGCGATACAGAGATTCCGAGATAAAAGTTGAACTTAATTTAACCCAGCTGATCCAGGGTAGTCCATTAATATGTGACAACAAAGTATATGGTCTAGCTAAAGAAATAGATGACGGTGATATCATTTTTGATACATTTGAAGTTCATTCCGACAAATCTGCAGTAGATACTAACGTTTTAAGTACGTATCTGGCGATTCTTATTTTTGTAGTGTACTTTAAGATATAAATAAACATTGTACATATATCTTTATAGCAACAATATAGTGTTAACTTTGTAAATAGATTAATATTATTAATAATAAATGATTTATTATTATTTATTATGCTAAATACGGTGAGTTTTATTGTTTTTTTTATAATTTTCATCTTTATTGATAAAAGTATTGTTAAACGTATAGACTTAAAAACAAACAAGAGTTCTCCGTATTTCATAAACCTACCCATACTGATACAACTATACGCAATCCATCATCCCATCCTACAAAACATAAATTGGAAGCCTACTATAGCATGATAATAGATTAATAGAAATTCCCATGTGAAAAAATAACTTCGAGATAGAATTGAATACCATTAAGCAAATAGCAGTAATTAATGGGTGCAACAAAACTAAAACTACATAAGAAAGTCCTGCAATTAGTATTTCTACCATCATACAAAAAACCCAGTCCTTCTGCTAGATTACATATACAGGCAAGATATCAACAAAAATAGTCAAATACATAAAAAATAAAGAAATAGCACCAGATTTTAGAACAAACAACTTAGGCAAATCTATTAAGAACAACAAACAACATGAGCCAAAAGAAAAGAGCATTTATACAGTGGTGTATACAAACTTAAATGTGGCGACTGCACAAAACCTTACATCGGTCAAACTGGTAAAACTTTTAACAAACGTTTATCAGAACACAAAAGGACTTTCAATAACAGGAAAACAGATTCTACGAACGCACTTCACCTTCTAGACCATAATCATTCTGTTAATGACCAATTTCAAGTTCTTTACATTTAAAATAATGATACTTTGCTGTGGGATCCCCAGAATAAGAATTTCAAAAATAAAAATTTAGAAGAGGAAGCCTGGATGGAAATCGAAAGAGATATGAAGGGTTGATAAAATGAAAATTCTGCTTTCGGGGTTTCGAAGAGAGAAATCAAAACAAAAAAAGCAGTGGGGCTAGGAAAGGTAGGTAACTGGAGCATCATTAAGTGGTATATAATAAAACACTATGTATTTATAATTATTTATAGCAAGAATATAGTGTTAACTTTGTAAATAGATTAAAATAAAACACCTCACATTTGAACTATCGATCGCGATAAACCGCGACGGTCATTGAATACAGTAAATTATTATTAATATTATTTTTATTTAATGATAATATTGAAAATTTGCATTTCAGACAGTCAATAGTTGTTTTGGAATGAAATAGCTCCGTCCTTAAAAAAATCCTCAAATTCATTTCTTATTTCTTTTGCATTGTCAGGAGACCGACGTGCATAGTTTCTTATTTGTAATAACGTTTCATAATTCCCCGTTAAAATTTCGCTTTCTGTTACATTACCACAACAGTAAGTGGTTGTAAGCTACACTAAGTAAGCACAGTATGAGCTCTTAAATAGTTGTGCAAGTGAGCGGTCATCAGTACTATAACTGCTGCTTTATTTGGTGCTACCTGAACTGGTTTCTTTAGAACTGTAAAAACGTTTCTCACAACACGAGGTGCTCTGTTAAGACGATAAATGAATACTCTTTTAAGTGTATCATTAGCATATGTTTGGCTTGGAAACGGAATACTAATTTATGTTGAGCCGTTATGGCTTTTAAAAATTTTGTGTCTTTTTTGTTTTGCTGGTAGAATCAAATTAGACGAATATTCAAATTGGATGAAGATATTCGCATGACATTTTTATAATGACTTTTATAAAGCGAGGAGGGCTTTTATAGTCTTTAAGAAGATAATGAAATAAAATATATGCTGCACTAGCAGCTAATAGTGACAACATGTTCACTTAGAGGTTAATTGAAAACTGTGAAGCGTACGTTGATGATGTATCCATTGAAGTAGTTGCAGTAGCGCTTAGCGTGAGATTTTCGCGTACATAGTGGATATTCACCTAAAACGCTGTCTACACTATTGATTGAAGTTCTTCGGAAGAAGTGCCGAAGTGAGGTTAATCGAATCAAGGTGACTCTCTACATATTCTTGAGGTCGAGTAATGTAGTGTGACACTTCCGGATCCTGCGACTTGGATGCGAAAAACCGACACAGAATGGAAGTAGAACGAGACGAAGCGAAGTCGCATGAAGTATTTCTCTACACTCTCGTACTCGCTGAACTTCGATCAACTTCGCGAGTAGTATTGTGGTCGCTGTAGCTAAGACAATGATTAGAATTAAATCAAAGTGACTTATAAACTAATATTGACACAAACATAAACAAAATCTCATATATTCATAAAACGAGAACAACATTTGTTTAAACTTAAATTAACACATACTTTTAGGTACAAATTTTTATATTAACACTGTGAAATAGTTATTTTACTTTAAATCTAACTGATCTCGTAATTCTTGAGGTATGTCAAAGAATATTGAATTAACTCCGAATTCAGCAATAACTTCCTTCAGACTGTCAATGTTAACTTTGTCCTCGTGATGTGACCAAATAGTAAAACTAGAATTATTATTTATAGTTGAATGTAACAGCTCTTTCATCTTGTCTTTGTGTGTGTTGGCTATTAAATTAGCTCTGACGGCAAAAGTAATAATATTGGTTACCTAAAATTATAAGAAGTTAGTAAAGTTAGTGGGACATATTACTCATTAATTAAATTTAACATAATATTGTAGTAATCACAGATCACCTACCTCCTAGATGTTCCACGACAATGCTTTAGTTGGATATGAAATTCAGCGCTCCATAAGATTCGTATCGGAACTAATTCAACCGGGAAATTACGCGGGAATTTCAAATTTTAATTTTGGTGGGAAAATTTAAATAAAGCTTAAAATATTTAAATATAATTTATTATATTTGAAAAAAAAAATGCATTTGATATTTTTAAATTCAAATATACACAATACCATGTAGGAAAAAATAAAACAAAATGTAATTTATTTATTTATTTAACACTTGTAAAACAACTTTGTAATTTAGAATAGAATAAAAATATGCTATTACCACTGAAAATTGTACAATTTTATGGACAAAGCTTACAAAAAGTCAGAAAAATAGCAATTTAAAATTTACTGAAATTACATAAATCGTCAATATCACAAAATAAAAGATAATAAAATACACAATGTATTCTAAAATTTAAATAAATTGCTTAATAAATCCTTACGAACTAATACATTTAAGTTTCAGCATGTGATACTGAAATATATATTTATACAAATAGTTTAGTTACTTGTACATAGCACTATTCGTTAAGAAACTCTTCTACTGAATAATATGATCACCATACAAATGGACTCACCATACAAATGTAAGCTAGGATTTGCATTTTTATACAATTTATGACTCCATCAAGAAACAAACTTATCTTCAAAGTGTATTGCAGACTCATTTTGTTTTAAAAACTGTACTAGCATTCAGTGGCGGCTCGTGACATCTGCTATAGGGTGTGCTGCATGAACCACGGTCAATATAAAATAATAGAAATAGAATAACATACGAAAACAAAAACAATAAAATTAGCTTTAATACTAATTAATAGTAACTAATAACGACATGCTATAAAAATCTGATTAACTTACATTTATTGCATTTTTCTAAATTGGAAATTAATACGCCGGTCCTTTTTTGTCGCAAACTTTTCGATTACTTTATCGTTAAAGTTCGGTATTGAAGCGATGAACTTTTTTTCTATCGAGAGTGTGGAAAGGGCTGTTAATCTGTCTTCGCACATTGAATTTCTTAAAAATGTTTTGATCCGTTTTAAAGTTGAAAAACTACGTTCAGCTTCTGCTGTGGTCATTGGCGTAGTCACCAGAATTTGTATCAACTTTTTGGTTTCTGTTAATGTGTCCTCTAAATTATTAGAAATTATAAATTTTAGTAAAGGCACTGCACCTTTTAATGTTCTACACTCGATATTGGAATACAAAACTGACAGTTCTGTTCGCAAACGGTTTTTATCAAAGAAGTTATAAGCTGTACAAGTTAAATCCAATTCATTTTCAGGAAACTTATTATTATATTTTTCGAAATGTTCTGAAGATAAAAGTGTTGCGGCAACTAGATGATTTGTATATGCAAACCGTTCTTTTGCATTGTTTATAATAACATCACAAACTTCTAGACAGGCAATACGGTGATCCTGTTGGCTGTTATTTGGGCGTTTCCTTTTTTGGACACTAGGCGCCGCATTTAAATTTGAAGCTTGATGTATGATAGGGTCTATTTTATTTCGGACATTGTTAATACTTTGCTCAAAAACATGTATAGCTTTCTGTGCTTCGGTTGGGTCCATGTTCTTTTTTTGAAGATTATTGTACAAAACGTCAACATGTGGCATAATATAATGAAAAACAGTCAGCCAGAAAGTAAAATTTTGATCTTCCAGAATACGTCTAAGTCCTCTTGCTTCCTTGGAAGTAATAGCATTTGACTCTTCTTCTAGTTGCTCCATACACTCAATAATAAAGTCTCTATATTCGTAAACGACATTTACTGTACGAATATTGAAATTCCAGCGTGTAGGGATTGAACGAGGAATATTTTTTCCAACTATTTGATTTAAGACAGCTATTCTTTGAGGTGAATGACTAAAAAATCCAGATATATCATGTAAATCTCCAAAAAATACGCGTACTTGGGAATTAATAGAACATGCTCTTGACATTATTAGATTCAATTGATGGGCGTAACAGTGCACAAAATGAGCAGTTTCATATTTTCTCTTAATTATTGTTTGCACTCCGCCATGTATCCCACTCATAACAGCTGCTCCGTCATAACTTTGTGCAATGAGCTTATTTTTGTTATTCTTTAATATTGGGTCTAAAACATTCAAAATTGTGTTAGCTAAGGTTTCAGCATCATGTTTTTCTGGAAGCAAAAAAGTCCAAAACCTTTCAACTGGAGCACCGTTTTTTACATAACGAAAAACAATGACCATTTGAAATTTCATAGAAACATCCGTTGTCTCATCAGCTATCACTGCTAAAAATGGGGCTTCATTGATTTCGTTTAAAATCTCCTCAGCGTATACTTCTAGCATGCAATCCAAAATATCATTTTGTATTGTTTTTGAGGTACCTTTGAAAATTGTCGCATTTGTAAGGTGTTCACTAAGTGTTTTATCAAGTTCAGCAGAAAAATTCACTAAACCACGAAAAATTCCAGGGTTATCTGATGTTTCAGATTCATCGTGTCCTCGTAAGGCGAGCTCAAAAGCCCCACAGAATTTTATACAGTCAATTATTTTTGACAAAACATACCTGTTTTTCGTCACCTCTTCATTGTGTTTTTGTATATTTATCCAATAAGCAGAGTCAAGTTGGGCCTGTATATTAAGTTTCCCAAATAATGCAAATCGCATTTCATTGTTCATATGAGTTTGCGTGTTTTCATGCTTCTTTATTTTTTCACTTAAATGCACTAGATCCCGCACTCCTGTCTCGCGCCACAATTTTTCCTCTTTATCTGCGCCGAATAATGCACACGGAAAACAGAAAAAAGCATTTTTTTCGGAACATCCACAAATCCACTGATTTCGTAGATACATGTCTTTATTAAATTTACGCGTATATGTTTTTCCACGGCTTTTACCGGACACTTCAATATTAAGATCAGGCATAGGACGGCCACGTTCTTTTATAATCAACTGTTGTTGATAGTGAAGTTTTTGAAATTTATTTACACCTAATTTAAATTGAAACTCCATTGTTTTAAACACGCTCGAACAAAACAAATTAAACAAAATTGTAACCTAAGAATTTCTAAACACGGCACAGATGCAACGGTCACGAATAACTGTCGTGAATTGCAGCTCGCAAACACATTTCCGAGGCCGTTAATCAGCCGATTGCCGAAGCACATCGGCTAAGATCGCCGTTTGCCTAATAAATGCATTTTACCGCTGCCAGTGTTTCGGTTGTTATCGACGCGGCTTCACTGGAGCAGCAAATACGTAAAAAGATTGCTTCACTGGAGCACCAAATACGTAAAAAAATTATACGGTTTCACTAGAGGAGTAAATACGTAAAAAAAATAATATTAATCATCGTTGTTGGTGAATTATTATTAACAGTTTATGTTTAATATGATAATATGGCAGATTTGAAATAAAACTATATTAATTATTCTTTAATAATTAAGATTTGCTATGGTTGTTTGGTAGTTCTGCAGCTCAGCAGCACATAAAGAAAAGCCGCCACTGCTAGCATTCATCATATCTAAATTAGGAGTAGTTGTAACACTAAGCCACTTCCTAAATCGTGTAATGTCTTTATCAGGCTTTGGGAAGGCATGTCTAATTAATGACGAATTGGTACATTGTAGGATACAACATTTATTGTGAAGAACCATTTAACTAATTATTATTAATCTGCAAAATACTGTTTGAACACCACCAGGAACATTTAAAACACATATCACTGAGGTAGGGGATTTGTAATTTACAATTTAACAAAATCAAAATATAGACGCTAATATGACAATTGGCGATTGACAATTATAATTCTTAGTTGTGTTCTAAACCTAAACTGTAGAGTAAAGGTAAAGACAGAGTAAAGCGACATCTGAAGATTCGTATCGGTACTACAACTGACATTAAGTTTGGTTTGACCTTGAGCTACCTACGTGAAACGTCTAGTTATTAGTGGTCTGTGGTAGTAATATTTATGTTACGTATCTTAAAGTTCGAAAATTGTCAAAAGTCAAATATGTTAAATACAAACTTTATTCATAGAACATGTTTGGCAGTTAAAATAATCAAAACAGATAGTTTTCAATGAAATAAAAATAAAAAATATAAGATCATTGAAATTCAAGAAAAGTCATAATAACAGAATTGTTTTATTGTTTTATTTATAATCAATTTAATACATTGTAGGGACGCCCCTCGCTCTTCTTAATGCTGTTACTACATAAAATATCATTGTTACAATCTTGTAACATATCGCCAAAATACAGTAGACTCCCTCTATAACGAGAACTGAAATGACAGACTAATTACCTCGTTATAAGCCGATCTAATTATATCAGACAACAATAATACTGTGCATACATTATTATGTAGTTTTCTAAAACTTAAAACTTCTCTAACTTCCTATAGTGAAGCCGTTCGGAGCAATATACGATGCTAAATATTGTTTAAATGGCGTTTTTGAAAAAAAGTTATACTTTCATTGTCAATGATATACTTTAAAATAAAAAATCTGTACTTAATTATTTCCAATTACATAATGTATAAAGCGTATTTTAAAGGACAACATAAATTCTTGCTTTTGCAATTAAAAGAAGTCTGTCATTTTTGACTGCTTTAAATTGTCCAGTATCATTCTATCTATCATATTTTCTAAATATGTGAAACAGTTGTATGCTTCTTCATTTGCGTTTTGTCTTTGGATAAAGTTTTTTACAACATTTAAAGCGATTTCCACATCTTGTCTCTTAGGACCTTCTTGCGTAGATTCACCGCGATTGTCTTATTCATCACTTTCGTCACTGACGATAACGCGCTCCGCCGGCGGATTCATTACTTCCGCGATAATTTCACTATCCGATGGAAGATCACAAACAATGACGTCATTATCAATGGCAATGAATTCAGCAAACTCCTGATCATTGTTCAGTTGGGTTAGCTCTTGACCTTGCTGTTATCCACAGGATATTCATCTTCTTCGTATTCTATCTCTGTTCACCCCGCATGACCGAAACATTATCTAATGGTTTTTTTATTTACGAGTGTCCATGCTTTGTGCATGAAATTTATGGCACCTAATTAAGGAACAGGGCATTCACTACGGTTTTCTACATTATTCAGGATCCGCTTATCTAAAAGTTTTCTGCAGTGACTTTAGGAGACCTGATTTATCGGTTACAGAACACACGTGCAATTTTTGGATTAAAAAAATAAGTTGAATGTTTTTTAAATTGTTAACTATCAGATGGGCTGTAAAATTGTCAACAATTAATAGAAACTTTCGATGTTCTAACTCTCTGCCCCACTTCAAAAGTTCTCCACTAAAAATATCTGTTGTCATCTACGATTGTTTATTAAATTTATATGTGACAGGAAGCTGATTCACACCTCTGAAACATCATGGTTTTAAGATTTCTCAATGACGACTAACTTCCCTTTTTCGGAAACGGACATGTTAGCACATCTGATTACAGCTAGCCCTTCTTTTGATAACTTGCCACCTATACAACTTTCATTTTTGAATTTGAGGGTCTTATCTGGAGTAAGTTTAAAAAAAGTCCCAGCTCGTCGGCATTGAAAACATTATCGTCACTGTAATTTTGTCTTACTGTAGGCCATTACTTTAACCAGTTGTCGATGACCTCTTTGAAAACACTCAACGCTCCACCGCAAATTTTTCCACGCGCAATTTCGTGCCTGGCCTTAAAACGGCTCATCCACCCACTCGATGCTTTAAAATTCTCATCATCACCTAGCGCTCGCGAAAATTGGGTTGCTTTTTCTTGAAGCAGTGGTCCACTTATTGGAGCATTCGTATCCCTGTTTACGGTAAACCATTTGACCATTGCAGTTTCGAGTTCTTTATTAGTTGCGGCACGTAGTTTTTTCGATTTACCAGAAAAAGACGAACCTGCTTCGAAAATCTTGGGTTTATTTTTGAGCATGGTGGATAGAGTGGAACTTTAAATTCTTCCTTCACGACAAACTTCTGCTTTCTTCTTACCGCTCTTAACATCTTCAAGGATGTTCATTTTGTCTTCTAAAGTAAATACTTTTCTTTTAGGAGTCATAGTGTGTAATCTATGTGACTATGAGATCTACAACACAACTTTCAAGACGCGAAAGCACAATCAAGAAACAAACGATAAACATCTACAACTTTGAAATGAAATTCTGGTGAAATTTGTTTCATTTGTCATGTTTTTAAGCCTCTTTACGTAGTTATTTATTATTTAGCGTATGAACTTTCACAATACGATAAATATACAAATACAATTACAATAATATACACATATATATTATATATATTATTCAAACACTAAAAATAGTAAAAATAGAATGAATAGAATGAATGACACTAAATATTAATGTCCAATTTACATAGCCATTCAATTGCTTCTGGGGAACATTCTGCAAAGTCCTGGAGGTTTCCACGGTAGGCACGATTCAAGCAGTCTGAAACACAATGGCTTATGGTCTGTCTAGATTCTCCGCAATCGCACTGTGGACCTTCTGCACGACCCCACCTGAACAGCGAATCAGCACATTTACCATGTCCGGTACGTATACGATTAAGCCTTGCCCAAATGGACCGGGGCAGATTTGATCCGATGAAACCCTGAGTTGGGGTGGATATCTTAATATAGTCCGATTCTACTGTTGGCATCCATCTTGTTGTCCATTGCCTATGTATATCATAGGAATTACCAATTTTTCGGGCAGATCGTATTGGAGGATTTCTAGATCTCAATCGTTGGTGCTCTTTTGAGATGTCTGGGATATCTTGATGTATTGGTAATTGTACGTTGGCTACAATTTTCTGGTACTCTCTCACTAATGCTGCTGTACGGCGTAGATCTGGTGGAGCAATATTGCTCAGAGTAGGCAGCCATCTCACTGGCATTGATTTTATTGTTCCAGTGATTATTCTCATGGTTTGGTTAAGTTGGACATCGATTTTGCTTGTATGTGCACTATTTAGCCATACTGGTGCACAATTGGGTGCATTTACGTAGTTTATTAAGTGCGAATGGTCCAACCCCTACACAGGACATCCAATGTACCTCGTTATAAGCGAAACCTCGTAATAACCATGTTAGTTATAGAGGGAGTATACTGCATATTTCTTTATTAATAATCCAGTATGGCTCAGTACCATGGCTCTTTGTAATATATTTATTTTTGAATGTATCTCTATTATATATAATTCTAGAAGAAGCGACCTAATCCGACTTGAAAATGACAAGAGTGATCTTGCCGAAACGTCGTAAAACGTCTTAATAATTAATGGTACAATAGATTTATGGTATGGAAGAGAAACGCTACTAGATTTAGTATAGACAATAGGGAATACATTTGAGCATTGTAAAGAGAAAAATTTGATTCGTTAATATTTAATTTAATAATCGAAAAAATCATAAACAAACCAAAATACAAATATTGACGAAAAAGTTAATTCGATTTAAAACAACTTTTGCTTACTTACATTATTACTGCGAATGATGTCTATCATTTCTTGAATTTGTATATTTCCATACGCTTGACCTGGGGCATTGTTACAAGTGGTCCAACCCAAAGATAATGTTACTTGTTCAACATCCTCTGTATAGGTGAAAAATATTTTAGCATCTACTGGTTCAGTTTTGGTTCCTGTTCCAAAATGACCATCTAAAATATCGGCATTAAGCCATAATGGATAGTTCCTCTAAAAATCGATAAGATAAGGTTATTTAAGAGAGGTCAACCAAGTTAAAGAAAATAAAGCAATACGTTTACAGTTGAGCTACTAAGTCGCATAAGACTGACTTGGGCAGCCCATGGCAAGTTGAACCACATTTTTAAATCGTCTGACCTACCAATATGTCTTAAAAGAAAAACTTTTAATCAGTGTGGTTTGCCAGTGTTGACTTAAGGAGCGGAAACTGGCAAAGAGAACGGTGGAAAAGATCCGTGTGGCTCAAAGAGTGATGGAGTATGCTATGTTGGTCGTTTCAATATGAGACAAGAACCCAAGCCGCCAGTTACGGCACAGGAGCAGCTGATGCTGTAGAGTGTAGAGGGAATATCAACACTGACGTAGAACTGGACAGGTCACGGGCTCGAATGGCAGATAACAGAAAAACAAAGCGGATACTGGAATGGAGACCAAGGGATGATGCAAGAGGCACAAAATCGAAATAGATCGAGGGAGATCTATGTTCAGCAGTGGACAAGTAAAGCCAATATATATATATATATATATATATATATATATATATATACATATATATCTTTATATAAACCAATGAAAACAATGTATATATGTACCAACTATAACCAACTGGTGGTTTTATATGAAATAAAAAAAATGGCATCTGACCCTAAAGTACATATGGCAGGCGCTTCAAAATACGAGTAGTTCAGTAGTTCATGTCTTAAATATCTGCCAATGGTGCATTTAAAAAATAACTTAATTTACTAAATTATGATACATATTCGAAAGATCCTTGATATCAATCTTATTATTAATAGATTTTTGATCTTTTTTTTATGTAAATCATCTCCAATATGCATATTTGTTGTAGTTTTGTTCGTTTCCAAAATCTGTACATTTTCAAAATCAAAATAATGGCTTTTTCTAGAGAATGCTTGGCTGAAAAGTATTTAATATTTTGGTTTGTACACTATGTTTCTGTGCAACAATCCTTATGTAGATATTGGTGTCTTTGCCCAATATAAGTTGAATTGCAGTCTTTATAATTTATTTTATTAATAATATCCGACTGATGATCTTTGTTAACATTGGGTTTAAATTTTGAAAAATATTTTTTTCAAATAATAAATTATTATTTGAAATCATTAAAGAACATCTTTTCAATATGTATCATAATTTAATAAATTGAGTAGTTCATTAAATGCAACATTGCAAGATATGACCTTGAACCATGCGTATTTTGAAGTGCCACATGTATTTTAGGGTCAAATCCCATTTTTGCATTCCATGTAAAACTAAAATACACTTGTGCATTATGAAATGGTAGATAATTAAAGTGCTTATTGAAAATGGCAAATAGATGTTTAAGCAATAATTGAGTAATTTATTTATAATAAACTGACTGACAAACCCAGGAATTAAGTATATATAGAACGGTTCAGCCAAGTTAGAAAAGGAGTATGTTATCTTGGGAAAGGATCACTAGAAGGAGTAATGCGTTGAATTTGGGGCATTAGAGTCAGAAGAGTTTTATTATGCACTTTCATTAACCTTTCCTATGTATATACATAAATATATATATATATATATATATATATATATATATATATATATATATATATATATATATATATATCTATATATATACCGGTATTTAGGCGCCACACCCTTCCGGTAGGGATCTATGGAGAAGTATCACCGAGCCGCAAGCCCCTATCTATTGCCGTACTGCTCCACCATAGGCAGATCATACACCAGCATATTTTAGTCTAAGCAGCAGATTCATCTAGAATTTTAAACTGCTGCGTTAGCCTTTTTATTTTTCTGTACACCGAGCTGGGCCTTGAACCCACATCCAGTGAACCATTCAACAGCGCCGCCTCAGATAGCCGCCTAGCCCGCTTGGCTATCTGAGCGACTATATTATTACTTACTTTTTTTATTCTTTTAAGAATTTCAATGCTACTAGCGAGTGCCGCATTTTCCTTGAAATCCAATTTTACCCCTTTTCCTTGGCTCTTGTTAATACCTGCTTGTTCATTAAAGTCGCTTATTTGCTCTAAAAAATCTATCAGGCTTAAATCAGACGTTTTGTTGGGTGGATGAGCCATAATTGGAATATCGTTTTCTTGGTTCTTGAGTTTTCCAATAATGACATCTGCTTCTATCATCATTATTTTATCTGGAACGTAAGGATGTTTGATTACCTACAGTTTATATAAGATCTCAAAAAATTACTAAATTTAAATGCAATTTTAGAAAATATATTCATAATATAAAATCTAGTAGATGTAGTAGTTAATAATATTTATGTATTAATATAAACCTATTATGATTTTGCATTTTCCCGCAATTTTTATGCAAAATTACGCTTTAGTAGATAAATATTTCATTATACATACCATCGTTAAGCACCTTTTTAAGATATTCCTTATCATTGACTGCATGTGCCCAAGTTACAAGACTAAAATTCCCATTTATTTGTGGAAAGAAAGTCCTAATATCTGCATTGGTAGACATTACGTACGTAATAAATATGAGTACCTACAGAAATTAAAAACATTTTAATATACTTAATAAAAGTTATTTATATAAAATTAATCTAATGATCTAGAGAGCGCGTGTCCAGACGATGAATAGGTGAAGCACTCACTAATTTATTTTAAGTGTACTTGCGAATAGGTGGGAAATACAAAAGAATCCGGGGCTTAACAGGCGGACATTAGAGACTCCATAGTTTCAGAAGATTCGTAATATTTTAGGTCGACAGCAACTATAAAAGGTATGAAAATGAACAATTATGCACGGAACATAGATTACACAAAGTGTCTATCGAAACATTTCACTCCACTTGGATGAAAATCGATATGGAAGTCATAACTGAAACTTCGTTTATGGGCAGGTCATACGATAAAAATAATCATAAACGTACAACCAATCGATACAAGACTATGGACTAGACCAAATCACTTATGGATAGGCGGAATAATGCAAGATACTGAGAAGATTAGTGATCGGTAAACAAAAAGCAAAAAATATAATATGAAGAACAATTATTGTACATAATAAATATTGTGAAATGTTAAATATTGCAATTATGTAAATTTTATTCTCTTGAAGATTGTTAACAAGCTTAAATAATTATCATTGCCTTGGTTTGTATCCATATGCTATACTGCTTTCCTTAATTACATCTCTACTCAAGTCTCTATCTGGGGTTGTACCAGTATCATTTACCTTCACACACATATCCTGATTAAGTGCCTACCATGTCTTCTTCAGTCATTCTCCCTTACTTCTTTCCAACTTTCCACGGCAGCTTTATTTAATTTTCTGTTCAGTTTTGATGAGAATCCTTCTATCACACTGCCCATCAGTTTTGTTTTCTCCTTTCTTTTATCCCGCCCTAACTCTACTTCAGGTAGATTTATCTATTTAGTCGTTACTCTAATACCGATCTTCTTATTGTGCAGTCTCCTTTCGAAAGGTTGGAAATCCAAATAGTAATTGTAACTTTCGAAACTGCTGCCCGAAAGATTTCTCTGAGAGGTAAAACCATCTCCTCAGGTCTTTCAGCCACTAATACCGATACTAAGTACATAAAACTATTATTTTTTACAGTTATTTCATCATCTAATGTTATCATCTAATTTGTAGTGACTCCAGCTTTAAATGAATATTCTGCACGCTCTATTTTGTCTTAGTTCTAAATCTTTTCTTGCATCAATTTTTCAGTTTTAGTTCTAAATCCTTTTCAGTATTTCCTCTGCCTTTGCCGCACCGGTCCTGATACTAGTGGTTACTCCCTCATACATACATATCTTTCACAATATTCACATACTCACCCGGGACTAATACATCACCGATTGTTGTTTCATTGCTATATTTTTCCATGAACCGCTTTATCTGTAACGAAAATTGCACCTAATGTTGATCTGCCTGACCTAAATCCACACTGATTTTTGGATATTTTAGTTTCTTTGCGTATATTTTAAGGTGTACAAGTCAACTTCCTGTCTCCCCCAAAGCTGTTAACACGATTCTAGGCTATCTCGTCCAACTGCTTCATTTTTTATTTTTACGCACAACAAGCCTTTAGGGCCTAGGGCATTTTTCTTACAACATAATCCTAATATTAACTAATTACAACATTCTTAACTACTCTGAAGGACCTGGTGTACAATATTTCTCAATTCGCTTCTATTTTGTGCTTTTGTGCTTTTCTTTTCCAGTCCATCACCTTCACGTGTTTAAGGTGTTCCTCCACTTTACTAATCCACCTCGTTCTGGGTCTAGCTCTTCTTTTGGGGCCGATGAATTTTCTGGTTAATACTGGTTTAGGCATTCTGTTTGCTGCCATTCTTTCCACATGTTCCAACCATCTGATTCTTTGTACCTTGACGAACTTGGTAAGGTAAGGTAAGGTTCTAACTAATGGTAGGTTCTTTGTATAAAGCCATTAAATCATTGATGGTTCTTCTATCCCAATCATCTTCTGTCTTCCGTCCTCCGAATATGCGTCTCAATATTTTCCTTTCCCATCTCTCCAGAGTATCCTCTTCCTTCTTATTTAATGTCCTTGTCTAACCGGCATATGCTACTGTAGGTCGAATTACTGTTTTATATATTCTGAGTTTACCTTGTCTAGAAACGTATTTTGAGTTCAGTAGGGCTCTTAAACTACCTAATTTTTTATTCCCTTTTACGATTCTGACTTCGAGCTCCCATTTGTCTTTTCCATTTTCATCAAAAACTACACCCAGGTATTCAAATTTGTCCACCCTTTTAAAGCTATAGGTTTTACCACTTACAGACCTCACACTAAACTCTTCTTTTTTTCCTTCTGTCCCTCCCATGATCATATATTTGGTTTTATCTTCATTTAGTTCCAATCCGAATTTCTGTGCTTCTTCGATGATTTTCTTCACAACTCTTCTTAATTCTTTCTCGGTTTTTGGTAGGCTCGTTAGATCGTCAGCAAATACCAAGCACTGGTGCTCATTTTTCATGATCGTTTTTTCTACCTTCATGCTGCATTTTCTGATTACAGTTTCTAACACTAAGTTGAATAATGTAGTGGATAAAGGATCTTCATGTCTCAAGTCTTTTGCAACTGTAAAGTGATCTGATATGTTATCCTGCTAAGCAATTTCACACGTAGAGTTATTTAGTGTCATTTCAACTAGCCGGATCAGTTTCTTTGGTACACCCAAATGTTTCATTGCTCGATACATTTTGACTCTGTCGACTCTATCATATGCTTGTCTAAAATCTACAAACAAAATATGCAGGGGAACTTTACTTTCATAACAAGTCGATTGTATCTCCTTAAATGAGAATATTTGGTCTACAGTAGATCTGTCCTTTCTGAAGCCGGCCTGATATTTATACAGGATTCTTTCCGTGTAGCAATTTATTTTATTTCTCAATATTCTTGCCAAGATTTTGTATAGCGTGTCTAGTAAGCCTATACCTCTATAGTTGTCACACTTCAGTTTGTCTCCTTTTTTATGCAGAGGGCATATGCGGGCCTCATACCACTCCGATGGCATTATTTCCTATTCCCATACTTGCACTAGTAGCTGATATATTTTTATTTATAGTTGTTCTCCACCAAAATTGATCATTTCTATGCATATGTCATTTTTACCAGGACTTCTGTTATTTTTTATTTCTTGTATTAATTGCTGTCACCATCTCCTTCTCTGTAGGCTGCCTTTCAACTATCGCATCTTCTCCAACCATCCGGTTGTCTACTGCTTCGTGGTCCACTTCACCATTTAATAATTCTTCAAAATGTTTTTTCCATTCCGTCCAACTGCTTTAGCTTTCTTTATTTTTTAAAGTGCTTGAGTAACTTTAAAATTAATTTCGTTCTTATTGCTTGTTAACAAACTTAAATTAAACTGTAATATCCAGATATTTAATCAATGATAAAACTAACTATTTAATAAAAATGTTTGATAAAAATCTCATAGGCGTATTCCCTACCATAATATTATCACATTATAACATGAGGACACAAAGGGTCAAATACCACCCTGGATTGTTAGGTTGGTTGCCTACAATCTATAGTAAAACTGTCAATACTGTTTTGTCGACAAAATGATTTGAATATCGATAATTATAATAATAATATAAGTTGGTTTATAAGGAAAGAAATTAAATTAAAAGTAAGTGATGTTTTCATAAGTTAATATTATTATTACCATAATAAAGTGCGAATTTTTTGTAAAAAGTAACAAATCGTAAAAGATAAATTAATGCTCACCGTTTTGCTCACACACAGCGCACTACAGAATCGGCTTTTCTCAAAATGGAAATTTCTTTTCATTTCGAATGGGACTTAATAATTATTTGCTTGGTTATTATTCTCACTCACTGTACTCTCAAGGATAAACTACGAAATCACTTCGTTTTGTTCTGGTCTTGATAGTGTGCTAACGATATAATTTATTTAATGTACATTATTATTGAGATCTGTAGGTTTCGTTTCAATCATCCACAGTGACTGAGGGGAATATAATTTGCAATTGCATGTACGTACCTAATTGAATATAACTGGTAGTCTAAGATCCCACTGCAAGATCACTACGTTTATAACTAGTTAATCAATCTCACATTTTTACATACATTTAAGAATAGGAGACTATATTGATAACAGGTTGCCAGTCAAAAAGTGGCTGCAAATATTTTCAATTCAATTAATGGTAATTAATTTTTGAACAAGTTTATTTCGCTCATTTATTTTTGAAATATAATATGCTGGTCATGATGTATGCATGGTTTCATATCAAATTAAAGCTCACTTTTTTTAATATGCTGTTTTAGGATTGCCTAAGAAATGATAATGAAATGATCTCAAGTGGTAAAAACGTTAGGTATGAAAGATAAAGTAAAATAGACTTATCGCGTAATGACACTGGCTTAACAAGTGATAATATGTATATCATTAATACTATCTATCGACGCATGCTTAAAAAACTCACACAACTGCCACTAACCATGTCAAACCAGTGACGTTGCGTGCTACCTCTCTTTTCTTCCTCTTCGTATGCCGTCCCCATTAACGGAGGTTGACGACCACATTTCTAAAAGTTTCTCTGTCTTTTGCAACGTGGAATCATTCGTCTACAGTCATGTTTGTCCAGTCTCGAATATTTCGCAACCATGACTTCCTCTTTCTACCTATTGCCTTTTTGCCATCAACTCTACCCTGCATGATGACCTGCCGAAGATTATATTTATCATTCCTCAGTATGTTTCCAAGGTATGCACTCTTGCGTACTTTTATAGTTCTCAACAATTTTTTGTCTCAACCCATCCTTCTCAGTACTTCCTCATTGGTGACCCTGGCAGTCAATGGATTTCTCAACATTCTTCGGTATATCCAAAGTTCAAAGGCTTCAAGCTTCTTAACTATTTGCGCTTTTAACGTTCAGATTTGTACCCCGTATAATAGTTGGGACCAGACGTAACATTCAACAAACCTCAGTTTCACCGCAGTATTCAGATTTTTGTCACAGAACAATTGCTTGAATTTTAAGAACGTTGCCCTTGCCATTTCTATTCGTACCCTGATCTCTTGTTCTGGATATAATTCTGTGTTGATGTAATCTCCTAGATATTTATATTTTGTCACTCTCCCTATTTGTTTATCAAGGGTTAGTTGTTCATTATTTATTAGACTTCTTGATACTATCATAAATTTGGTCTTATCTGTGTTGATGTCAAGTCCCATTTGAATGCATTCACTATTTATTCACTATTTGTAGTTCTTCTAGGTATACTCTCAGCCATAATTACCGTATCATCTGCAAATCTCATGATGTTTACGATTTTTCCACCAATTCTTATTCGCTCTTTTCTTTACCATAAGGCTGTTCTGAATATGACCTGTGAGTACACGTTGAAAAGCGTCGGAGACAAGGCGCATCCTTGCCTGACCCTCTTGCAATCGGTATATTATATGTTTTTAACAGATGGCAACCTTAATTTGTGACTATTTTTTTTCAGGCAACCTTAGGTAGTGCAAACTTAACATAGCATTGAAGATCATAGTGATTATTCTGTAGCAATCATGGTTAGTTAGTTCTTGAAGGGCCTTACCCGTCATGATATCGTATCCGGGCGCCTTATTAGGTTGTATCTCATTTTTTTATTACGTATCTGCTTTATTTTTTTAATGTTAAACTTGGAGATTGGTAGTTCCATTTGATAAAGAGCTTCAAAAAAATTATGAATTGGTTCTTCATATTACAGAGGCACTACTCTAGTTAATGGACGAAAAACTGCCGAAAGATGTTCTGCCAATGTCTCGGATTTCTCTGTGCCTATTTTCGTCCATTTACCTTTTTTTAAAAGAGCCCTTTTACTTGTCTCGTCGCCTTTCATAAAGAATATTTTGTATCTTTAAACGGTCTCAGATTTTCTACATAAGTTTTAATGTCCTTTAAGGTGCGGTTGTGTTTTGCCATTTTTTCCTAAGTTTTCTTTTCTCTTCAATTAAGATTCTTACACTCAGAGAACAATTAATGCTTTCCTTCCATATTGTTTGTTCAAGGGTACTAAATTTTCAATTTGTATTTCTGTTTTAAGTGGTAAGTTCGTTTTCTTCACGACTTCAGCAGTTATATACCCCTTCTTGTAATTACCCTAGAGCTCTAGTGGTGATGTTTGCAGTCCAAGTCTCTTACATTGATACTTGATATCATTAATACATTGGCCAGGAAGACAGTAGACCGCAGATAAGATAACCAGTCTTTAATGACAATGCTAGTTGATTGTAGGTACTTTTCACTGAACTTATTCAACTTGTGATGTTTTATATATATTAGATTTGATGATAGCTTTGCCACCGTGTGCTTTGTCAATTGGATGTGTTGCATAGAGAAAAATTGATTTTAAAATTTTAATATAATTTCTGTCTCTTAGATGGGATTCTGATACGAGCACATCAATTTTCTTCTCGCCGAGAAAAAATTTGATTTCTTGGACATGCTGCGTTAGTCCATTTGACTTCCAGACGGCTATTTTAAGTGTAAGTAACATTAGTGCACTTTGGAAATCATAATAGTAAGAAGATTAAGTATAGTGTCCATTCTATCTATTCGTTTTGCCATCATTTTTTCATGGTTGGCAATTGTCGTTAAATGGTTTGAGCCGAAATTACTTTGTTGGTTTGTCATTTCAGCCGTTTGACTATTTCCTCAAGTTTTTTTAGCATAAGAAACACCAGAGATTACTGTTTGATTGCTAGTTTCATTGCTAGCTCTGAGCTAGGCCCAGTTCGGAAGATTAGTGCTCAAGGCGTTGGGCTCTACTTGCCCGAATTTTTATGATTTTTGTTAATATTTTTTTTGTGGTATCCGCCGGTTTTTGTTAGTAATTTTGTAATTTTTTTGGTGGCCAAAGCAGTTATTTGGGTATTTTGTAGGGTGTAGGATGGAAACATAAAATCATAATTAGTCAATGCATATAAATATAACCAGTTACCTAGGCCTATACTGCACTTGCGCTTGTCTACGATTTTCTAGAGCTACGAACTATCCGCCTTTGTGTATTGTTTTTTGTTTTATTTTCTCTTTGGTGACTTTAGTTTTTTCTGTGGTAATTTTGTTTGATTTCTCTCTTGTTTTATTTTGTTTTTATTCCACTATTTGTTGTTTGGGTCTTTTGTGCTTCCATCGGTGGAAAGCGTCGTATATCATGATCTCCCGCATTATGTGACCTGGATGGTTCTCCAGTTCCGCGAAATTTGTCCTTGCTTTATCTTTCTTTATTTCAGTTACTCTAATTTGTTGTAGTTATCTAAACAGAAATCTTTCAGCGACGTATCTCGATACGTTGGCTGCTTCTCTTAGACTGCTGTTGTTTGCCGCTTGTATTTTCTTTTTTGTTGTATTGCATATGTGTCCCCATGCGAGGGATTCATATGTTAGTATAGGAAGAATTATACTATTAATTAACCTTTTTTTTGTTTCCATTCGCAGTTTGCTTTTTCTTCCTCTTAGTCTTCTTATTGACGCTTTTGCTATGTTTGCTTTTGGTTGCTGTGGTTATTGTGGTGTCTATGTGTTTTTTGAATGTTAAGCCTTTGTCCATGGTGATTCCTAGGTATTTGCTTCGCTTTTCCACTCGATAAGATTTTTTTGCACTGTGACGTGTTTCGCTGATTATTGGTGCCTCTTTTTAAATAGTACTACCTGCGTTTTTTAAGTTTAAAGCGATTTTCCATTTTAAACTCCAGGTTGCAACGAAACTGTGAACAACAGATATGGGAAACTGTTTTATTTATTTAGCAAGGCAGTAGATCAAATAAATGCTGTAGACGTTGGCAATAAGTAGTAAGAGAAGATCTTTTGATAAGGAAATAAAAAAAACATATGGAATGAATACATTGTGTAATAGTTATGTAATAAAATTATTTTATTAAGTTTACAGAACATAGAAGTGTTACATTTTATATATTAATACATTAATAGAATACCACAGGGATATATATATATATATATATATATATATATATATATATATATATATATATATATATATATATCGCACCCTCAGTGCAAGACTGCAGTAAGTCAGAATAAGTAAGTTTCGAGATACAGACGATTTTGTTTATTTTCGTGCTAATATCGGTGAAATAAGACACAAGTTTCAAGAAACATTAACATTTAATTATTATTTTACATGCTTTATAGCCTATATTACATTAAATAAAAATAAAAATTTAAACAAAATAATATTTATGCTAAAAAAATTAGGAATTTCAAAGTTACAACAGTTTTGCACGGACAAAATTGTTAATCACTACACATTTAGTATTGGAATTTTAAAGTTACAACACTTTTGCACGGAAAAATTGTAAAAGGTGTAGACACACTTTCTGTTAGTTGTTGTCCTCTTCTTGATCATCTTGGGCCAAAATATTTTCATAAAAACTATGGTAAGCTTTTGGTATCATACTCGAATGGCATAAGTAAACTTTAGTATTATTGTTTCTCTAATACATTGTGTCTATGTACTTTTAATCATTTCGCTTAAATCAGAAGTATTTTTTTGAACGCCCCTGTTTCGTTCAGTTTACACTAGTCGTAGAAATTCTCACCACTGAATTTGAAAACAAGAGTAGATAAATAGATTATATTACAACAATTAATTTAAATTTAACTTACCCTGCATGTCGTTGCTATCCTCACTTGTCTGAGTACACAGGGATAAAATCCTCAATGTTCTGGAACTATTAAATTTTGACATTTTCGAAATCGTTAATTCTGCATCTATCACTTGCAAGGGTTAATAACAGATTATATTAAAAACTACACTACTAAAATGTACCTACTCGTACTTCTTCCTTGAGAACTCGTTTCTAATGAGTTAATAGGGTAGGTAAAGAGAAAGTAATCTCCAACAACGATAGGAATAGTACTAAACATTACATTTAATGTATTCACAGAAATCACCTGATAGATAAAGGGAAAGTAATTTCCGGGGTTTAGTATATACGTTTAATAAATTCCAATAAATCATCAGGTAAGTAAAGAAAAAATAATCCCCAACAGCAATCGTGGTATGGTAATAAACTTTACATTTAATAGAGTCCAAGAAATCAGATAGCTACCTAGAATAAATAGGTATTACACCTCATAAAACGGTTTATTGTTAGCGGCCATTTAATATTTTTATTTCTGCACATGTTTCTGATAGCCACAAATCCTTCGCTTTGTAATGACAATGCCATAATAAGGTAGAAACATTATTTGTAAAACTTTTGAATATTTTTATTTAAATTCAAAACAAAACGACTATAATAAAAATATGCAAATCAGGCTACCTTGAGTAAAGTGATTAACAAAAGGATTGGAATTCACTACCTTAGTAAAAGTTGGGAATTATGTGGGGACAATAATATGATAAGACAATCGCCCCGGAAGGTTACGTGAATATTTAATATAGTTTAGGATTTATATTTTATAGAACAAGTTTTCTGAGAATAAATATTTTTAACCTGTCAGTATTGCTAATACACAAGTTTTAATATAACTGTTTTTCCTTTCATAAAAAAATACTTTTTGGCTGTAAATAATTAGTCTTAATTTATGTGTTTTTAATCCAATCGAATAAATAAATGGCTAAACGACATCGCAAACATTTTATGAAAAATATAATGACACACAAAGGACATAAAAGTTACATGAATAATTTGGTCTCGTTAATCTTTGTTTATTGTCTAGGCCGTTAATGGATTACGTAGACACACTGTATATTAATATTAAACACCACAGATATACATATTAAAATAACAAATATGACAAAGATCTCACTTTTTTCGTGCTTTTTATTGCTTGTTATCGAAACCATTGCAATGTTCCGTGCAAAACTGTTGTAACTCTGTTACATGAGAGTTACAACAGTTTTGCACGGAACTTATGTACAAAAACGCAAAATAGTTAAACTGTTGTTGTTGTAATATTTAGCCGGTTAAGCATGTGAAAGTTACTAAAGTTTTACAGGGGATAGATATGCATGTTTACAATCTAATTCCATGATTACTTCATTTTTATAAAATTTTGAGTTACTGCAGTCTTGCACTGAGGGTGCGATATATATATATATATATATATATATATATATATATATATATATATATATATATTATATATATATATATATATATATATATATATATATATATATATATATATATATATAATGTACCTATATAATTTACTGTTGTTTTCAGATTGAAAGTTTTTGTTAGAGTTCGCTATAATTTGTGTTCCATACTTATCTCTTAAAAGTTATTATTCAGCTTTAATTTTTAACTATTCGGGAATTTTTCTATTTTTAATTATTTGACTATAATAATCTACAGATTTTTTCGCTGTTCTTGGACGGCTGTCGTCTTTGAAATCTACAGAGTAAAATCCAAAACGCATGCTGCAAGAGAATAATAAAATTAAATAAATAAATATGCTAAAACAGTTATTTACTGAAAAATAAATACATAAGTAAATGATTAAAATATATACCTAGTACCCCAACTGATTTTTGATTACCTGTATCCCGAAGTCCATTCAAAATTATCCAGTAAACTCCACATTGTATAACCAGTAACATTAACTTTATCTTCATAAATAGAATCCAAAACAGCGTTCAGATAGCCCTACAAAAATTGTTTTTTAAAAGTATAAGTTTAGAAATATGATATCTCTTCCGCGAATTTGGCTATACACACACCAGATGACCAGATCTTTTATGTACAAAATATAACCACCTATCCCGACAAATATCTTTTGTTTTTATTTTTATTTTCATTTTTGCCACTTTTTTGAATGCCCTATGTAAGAGTGTAAACCGGATCCAGTGGAATGACCTAACTCTGATTTTTCGACTGTTTAGCTCAATTATCTGTAATTTTATTGTTGAGGTGTAAGAACACTGGTTTCAGTTATGCAAACTTAGTTTTAAGAATGTATAAGTAATAAATAAACAGTATAAACAATTTAATATAATAAATATAAACAAATTGAGATAAACAGTATAAAAAAATTGCGATTTTAATTCTCGTTATATTACAAACAAAATTGGAACAGCACATACAACAAATGATGGAGGACGATCACTGTGGCGTCTGAAAATCCATTAATCACTATTGCTTTTTCAGAAACTTTCAAGCAAGCTGAATCCATGACAGAATTTGAAATTTCAGTGAGGAGTATAGGCTACTAAGGACTCCTCCAGTACTTCCACTCTGAGGTCATAAGCCTCAACCCGCACGATCGTCACGAACATGTGGACAAGTGAGACAAGTGGGCAAGTGTGACAGATCGCATCAGATAATTTGTCTCGTCAAACTGTTCCAATGCCATCTATTAAATGCCAAATGTAAAAAGTCATACATCAACTGTCATACGTTAAACGTCAATGAACTACTGATCCCTCCGGTTTATCTAAACTGCTCTGAATAAATGATTTTAGGAAAATAATTGAGATCGTTACTTACTGATAAATATGATATTCTTTCATTATCTTCTACGCTAGTATCATTATCAGCGATTCCATTTTCAGTAATTATAATTTCGGGACTGTTGTAATTTTCCGCAATCCATTTCAGGTAGTATCTTAACCCTTGGGGATATATCTTAAATTAAGAAACACATTTTAAATTTAATAAAGAGGTAAAAGAAACTAATAATTTTGGGAATTTTTCCTTTGTTTTAGACAAAAACTAGATTTGATATTTAACATAGATGTTAGTAGTATTTCATTAAGTAAATAAAATCATATTTTAACATAATACATTTATGGATAACAATATATCTTATGGACCTTAAGTAATTTGAAATTACTGTGTGACCGGCAATAAAATATCTTTACGTATGTTTGCTTGCCTTAACCTTAATAAATTTTAGTATACCTTTTGTGAAACAATTTAATATACGTTATTTATTAAAACTTACGTTTCAACTTGGCGTAGATACTTACTGTATTACCATCATAAGCAATAGTCCAACGAGGATCGACATCCTCTTTTACTCTTAAGTCATTATCAAAAGACGTAGTATCAAAAGAAGCTTCATCTATGTCTTTAATTAACTTTGTATTGTAAAAATTGAAAGCAACATAATCAGCAGTTCTATTAATGTACTCCATTTCTTCGACTGTAAACTGCGGTAAACGAGATTCAGGATAGTTTTCCATTTTGCTACGATAATTGACTCTGTCCTTTACCACTTGAGGCCAGTCACCAAAGAAAATTGGATGAGCGTATAATCCAAACTAAAAAAATTACAACAGTAAATATGAAAACGTAAAATTTTATTTGGTAGGTGGTTCGATAAGTACTTAGCCCCACCGCCCCTGACGTTCTCATCACAAGAGAAATCTACTATGGTATAATAAATTTTCGTAGACGGTTAATGCCAAAATTTCAGCCGAGTTGGACTTGTAGGTTTGTTTTGACCGCGTGTGGAAGTGGGCGTGTCTGCGGATTTTAGAAAAATGGAAAAAGTACAATATCCTTTGGCGATTGGATTTTTGTTTTTGGAACAGAAATTGGGTAGCGAAATCAAAGAGCACTTGGATGCTGTTTACAGTGACTCTTGTCCTTTAAAGTTAACTGTCGAAACTGGGTTTAACGAGTTCCAACGTGGTTGTACGTCAGTTTTTGACGAGTCATGCCCAGGTGCCCCGAAAATAGCTACCACGGAGGATAACGTGACAAGAATGCACGATTACTTATTGTCGGCAATCCGCCGACTGAAGGTACGCGAGATAGTTAAGACAATAGGCATCTCAAAAGATCACGTGGGTCATATCCTACATAAAATTTTTGAGTATGAGAAACCACTTCGGAGCAGCAAAGAGAAGTACAAACAATGGATGTCACCATGCGAATTAGGGTGGCCCAAAAATTTCAAAATTGTAGAATATCCCTAGGCACCCTCTCAGTTTTTTACTTTGCCTAATAGAAGTAAATCCCTAAAGTTTCAATGTCATAGGTGGAGTGGAAAGCAGTGCTCAAAGTCTTTAAAGTTTTGAAAATTTCGCAATTTCGTCGAATTTTCAAAAATTAATATCTTACATTATTTTTTTGTTTCAGATGCTGAAATTGTGAAAATTGTGCATTTAAAGACTTAAGTAATTGATATATATATATATATATATATATATATATATATATATATATATATATATATATATATATATATATATATATATATATATATATATATATATATATATATTATATATATATATTTATATTTATATATATATATATATATATATATATATATATATATATATATATATATATATATATTGTTGTACTTTTGAATGTCTGTTAGCAATAAAAAACCGATATACAAATTTTATTACTTAAATAAAAATTAAAATTATTGATATTTCATAATGACACGGGCATATAAATTTTCAAACATCCTGTATAAGACAAAATATGTATTTTAAGTTGTTCAAAGAATTGTTCATTAGGCCTCAGAGACAAGACTTTCAAATATTATCGATAAGAAATTTAAATAAGTCGGTTATTGTGAAATGGATTTACCCGTAATAAAAGTGTATATAGAAAGTGTTTAAACAATAGACCGGGATGTGCGGTGGTTTTTCCCCCGAAAGATTATATCGGTAAAAGTTTATTAACAAAAGACATTGAATTGAGAAACAGGTATCGTTTGTAGCTATTAGTAAGAAATATTTGTAAAGCAGATAGATTTAGTTAGAATAATTAAAGAATGTTGTTTTCTGGAATTACCCGAATGACGTTTTAATAGAGAGAGTTGGTTGTTAACGATATACGTCACAGAGGTAGAAGATTTTTATTGGTCAATTTTTGAATGCAAGGAGGGAGTGGTTTTGGCTATGAGATAGGAGAGAGGAAAGGAGTAGTCAGTTTTCGTCGCCCAAGAAGGAAGGAGCTTTGTGGTTTGTGTTTGTTTGAAGTCCCGAAGACGTAATTTACCGGGTGTGTTTATTTGCTGTGTGAAAGCTGATCAGTGTGAGGAACGGGGTACAGAGAGATAGAAAAACCAAAAGGTTATAAGAATATTAATATCAGACGAAGCCGGAAACATTTGAAGTTATAAACAGGCGCGGAGATTGGTTCAAAAGGAGGCTGCATAGAATTACACGAGTTGTTGGGTTGCAGATACAAGGACAGATAGGAGAAAGGTGTACGTCTTCTGGACCAAAATAGGAGCAGAAGCAGAGAAAGGTTTTTTTTTATGGCGTGGCCATAGAATTGCAACGGCAGATAACGAAAGGTCAGTCAATTTTCATTAGAGCAGGAGTGTGGTTTTCATTTATAAATTAAATAAATTGAATAAATAATAGAGACAGTTAATTTTGCGATCATTTAAAAAAAAAAAATTATAAAGAGAGCTTAGTTATAACACATATTAAAAATCAATGTAAAATAACATTTGGGTCCATGATAGAAAACAACTTCTCATATATTTAAAGTATTGTATTGCAAATATTACCGGATTGATTGTTATATAAAATTTCAATAAAATAAAGGACATCTCACATATACTTCAGTTGAAATTCTGTGTATTTTATTCAGGTCATATTACCTATCCCAATTAGGAAGCCAATTGGAAAATATTTTGAATCCACGATCAAAGGTAAATAGTACAAGTTAAATAGCCTGAGATTGTAATTAATTAATGCTGATTTATTGTGATTAATTGGAGATTAGATCATTTAATAAATATAGACAGGATCTTTTCTAAATAAGCAATAGAATACAATTTAAATAGCATAACAATATATATATATAAAAACTGATAATATTTGTATTAAAAGACTATTTTGTTATTAGTAGAAAATACGAGTCAAGTGCAAAAAGTGAACAGAAGAAGGAACTGTGATTTGTGCATGTGCGTAGTCATGGCTTCGCCCTCCACTTCAACGCGTAAAGCAGACACTATTTTTTTAATTGGAATAAGAGAATTAGAACCCACATCTCAGTTGAACCAACTACCTTTTGTAAGGCAAGTTCTTTTCAGATTTCATTTTTTCCTAAACGAGAAAAAATCCATAAGGAATGCTAGCCACTTAACCTTCGAAGAAGTGATGTCAGTATGGCAAAAGGCTGCGATTCCTACCAGATTAAAAAAAACATTGTATTAAAAAAGTTGAGAAAATACACAATGCTAAAGAAAAATAAAGGAAGAAACTCCGATGCCCAGAACAAAAGACAAAATCTGTTTGTAGAGCAGCTCGATCAGCTTTTTGATATTGCTCACAGTGAAGCCCTGGTTATGTGTAAAGTAGATGAGGACAGACAGTTTCTAATAGATCAAAGAACTGACAGAAAAATGATCATAACATCAGAAGACAAGGAATATAAAAAAAAACAGGAGAGAATCCTTGAAAGAAAGTTAAAAGAACAAAAAAGACTTCAAAAAGCTCGAGAGGGAACTGCTACAGTAAAGTATTTACTTTCTGTTTTGGTCCCTCCAGTTCACCTGATATACCTATATTCAAAAGATTCAAAGCAGCATGGCAATATATCAGACAAGATAGTTATCAGTCTTTGGGAAACATTCCTGGCAGCGAAGATTTCAAACAATCTGCAGTTGATGTTCTCCAAGTTGCCTTAAAAGGCAAAAGTCAGCCTCGGGATGACTATATGGAGTTGATTGAGCTGGCTTTAATTGCTTTAGGCCACACTCTAGCCAAAATTCATTGGAGAGCTCCTGGTGCGGTACACCACGCCCGTTGGATGGCTAAGTTGTTATATGGCATCAAAATCTATTTGTTTCGTGATGACAGTGGTTTCGTGATAACGCAAAGGGAGAAAGCTCAGCTTGAACGCTTTGTGAAATTTGGAGTTCTTGTCTACGTCAAGTACTGGGTAGAAGCTCCTTTAGCTTCAAATGCTCCATGGTCAGATCTCTCACTGTGGAATGATATGACAAAGTAGCATGATATTGATCCTGAAGTAACTGAAATTGTCAAAAAGGCTTTCAAATCTCATCTTTGGTATCTTTCGGATGAGTTGGTTGGTTTGAGTCTGTTCTCAGAAAAAGTATCTGTTGATGATAAGGTGGAAATCGTTGAAAAAATGAAATGTGAACCTGCTGAACGGAAAGTGAGAGGCAATTCAGCACTCCTAACTGAGAAAGCGCGTTTGGCTGATTTTGCTTCAAAAAGATTACTGCAGTTACTTGAGAAATTGGAAATCAATACCAATTTTTTCACCAAAAACCCAGATGAATGGACCGATGACCAAGAGTATATCAAAGGTCAAAACATCATCAGAAATCTGAAAGTTGTTAATGACTTGGCTGAAAGAGGAGTAAAGCTGTTTGAAGAGTTTAACAAGCTGTTAATAAATGATGAAGATGAAAAGCAGGTGCTTCTCCAGGTCATAGAAGCTAACAAAAAGATGGTGCCTACAAAGACTACAAAACAAGCGATCGTCGATAGTTTGAAAATATCAACAAAGGATTGATCGCCCACAGCAAATTCTTTTCATGGATATCATTGCATTGTTTTATTGTACATTTATACTGTAAATAAAATACATTTAGTTTACTTACTTTGAGCTGTTTTTTCTTGATTTTTAATTCCCTCAAATATTCCGATTTTCTAAAATTATGTCCAACATAAAATGTCTTTGAGCACTCCTTTCCAAATGGAATATCATCTTGAAATTTTGCATAAATACTATTAATATTATAAGTAAAAAAGTTAGAGGGTGCCCAGGTGTCTAATATAACTTTGAAAAATTAACATTATAATGTGGGCCACCCTAATGCGAATGTGTTTCGAAAAAGACGAAGACTGTTCCTATCAGGCAGAAAGGGATGGTCACCGTTTTCTGGGATTCACAAGGTATGATCTACATTGACTACTTGGAGAAGAACACAACGGTCACAAGGCTCTATTATGCTAAATTATTGTGCTGATTCGACGCCGAATTGTAGAAAAAACGGTGAAATTTTTCGAAGAAAAAAGTACTCTTCCAATATGACAACGCACTGGCCAAATGTGCCTGCGTGCTACTTCTTTTTAACGGGCACATCTTGTAAGTATATAGATATCTGTAATTTGTCAAGCCCCTCAAATTCAGTATTACAAACATTTAATTTTAAATAAGGAATATATCATGTGTCATCATTAGATACATAATTTGTTGAGGAATTCCTGCATCCATGATTTTTTTCATATTAAATCTATTAGAATGGTTAAGTTTATTGAAAGTGTAATACCTCATTAAAACTTAATATAACGCCTAATTGTTGCTAGTTTCAATTTCAAATTTTTTCCTTCACATTAGAAACTACATTAAGAAATTTGCAATATAAATCTAAGTGAATAAAGTAATCTAAATTTTAAATTATTAGATTTTACTATTTGTTCTTGAGTTTTTTACCAATATTCTTGATTATTTTTTTAGTTTAGGTTTGTCCTTGAGTGATTCTCAATTTCGTTTGATGATTTTCTATCAGTCACTTCTGAACCTCACATTTTGTAGTATCTTTAGTGATGGTGATGCCACAGAATGGTTCTGAGCCTACAAAGGTTTCTGTCGAGCCTTGTTTTCCCAAAAAATCTGTTCGTTCATTCCCATGCACGACTTCATGACCCGACACCCATATTAAAGACACTTTATCTTTTGCCAGGTTGTTGAGGAGATCTTTGCAAGAGTACTAGGACTATTTATAACTGCTTTAAGAGACTACAATATTTGATATAAAAAATACCTCAAAATTTAATTTCCGCTCTGAGGCTTGTTGATCTTCTTCATTATCCCAATACGGTATACTCCAAATGCCATCTAGAGCCATAGTAATTTTTCCTAGAAAATAAAATATTGTACCATAAGAAACAATTGTTGTAATGGGGCTTACCTCCAAGAGATTTATAGCTTTCTTGATATTTGTGATAAGCAGCGGCATGTGCTTTAATGACGTGATAGGTGCACATGTAGTCAGCTATTCCACTTCGTGCTATACCTGGAGCCATGTTACCTTTACCGTATCCGCTACGACACACCTAAAAATTAAATCATACAGATAACGTAAAAAGTTTTCCATTTGGTAAACTATTTTGTATATTTGTAAATCCAGGTTTGATGAGTCATGCTCTAAAACTGTTCTTAAAAATAATCCATAATAGGATCTATAGGAAATTAGACGTAGACATCAGTAACACTCAGATGGGATTCAGAAAAGGGCTGGGTACAAGGGAGGCTCTGTTTGCAATGAACGTTCTCTCACAGAGATGCTTAGACATGAACCAAGAAATTTACGCCTGCTTTATTGATTTCGAAAATGCCTTTGACAAAGTACAACATGAACCACTAAGACAAGTTCTAATAAAGAAAAATATAGACAGCCGAGATATTCGAATTATATGCAATCTATATTGGAATCAAACAGCAAATGTCAAGGTTGAGGGCAGACTAACAGAAGAAATTCAAATCCGTCGAGGAGTCCGGCAGGGATGTATCTTATCGCCACTTTTATTTAATCTGTATAGTGAAGCTATCTGTGAACAAGCACTCGAGGAAGAAGATCTTGGTCTGATAATAAATGGTGAGACGATCAACAATATAAGGTATGCTGACGATACAGTTCTCCTAACGGGAACGCTAGTAGAACTACAACATCTCGTTTAAAGTCTCAATATATACTGTAACAGTTACGGCTTGAAAATTAATTTGAAAAAAACTAAATTTATGGTAATCACGAAATCAAAGAACATCAGAGCTAATCTTGTAATAGACAATACAACGATTGAGCGTCTGCCCTGTTATAAATATCTAGGTGTTTGGATCACAGACGATACTGATCAAACAAAAGAGATTAGATGTAGAATAGAAATCGCTAGATCAGTCTTTAATAGAATGCGCAAACTCTTTTGCAATCGTGATATCAATATAAAGTTACGAATAAGAATGCTGCGGTGTTATGTCTTTTCTACCCTGTTATATGGAGTTGAGGCTTGGACACTAAAACAGTTGACCATAAAAAACATCGAAGCTTTCGAGATGTGGTGCTATAGGCGCATTCTCAGAATATCATGGATGGACCGCGTCAATAACACGCAAGTACTCCAAACTTTAGACAAAAATGCGAAATTCTAAATGAGATAAAAACTAGAAAGATGGAATACTTGGGCACATTGTGAGAGGTGAAAGGTACGAACTTTTAAGAAACATCATGCAGGGCAAAATTAAAGGCAAAAGAAGTGTGGGAAGAAGAAAAATATCGCGGCTTCGTAATCTACGTGAATGGTTCGGGTGTAGTTCGATTGAACTTTTCAGGCGCGCTGCTAACAAAGTCGCAGTGGCCATGATGATTTCCAATCTCCGCTAGGAGTGGCACGAGAAGAAGAAGAAGACGGTTTGTGGTATATGTTGTTGCCAATTGCTAGTATTGTTGCTGCTACATTGTGCTACATGACTATGCATTGCTGTCTGCTTGTGTAAAATTAATATTATTTTGATAATTGTAACGTCATAACATTTTATGTTGTATACATTAGCAAAAACAGTACAAAGTGTATTTGTACTGTCCGCTGGGCTCTATTCGTGACTTGAGTATATATATATATATATATATATATATATATATATATATATATATATATATATATATTAAGGATTACCCGAAGAGTGGTGGATTTTTCGGTCAAAAGGTGGAGAGAAAAAAGACAAAGAAGGTGGCTACTTCATCTATTTATTGAAGACGTTTCGCTTTCTAATCAGAAAGCATCATCAGTTCATCTAAAAAGAACAATATGAAAAACCAAACATCCATAGAAAAGTAATAAAAAGTGTGATACCTAAAAAAGACTGTAAACAATTAATTGAAACTAAATACAGTTTACAAATTAACTCAAACTTAGCACAGCAAAATACCATGTGGTAATTGTACATGTATATAAAAAGTATGTAAAAAAGATTATATAAAAAACACTAATTTGTAGGCAACTATCATGTTCATGAGATCACACTTCCAACAATATATTATTAGTTAAATTTAATTTGAACTTTAGGTAACATAATTGAAATGATTATGATTGAAGTACAGTAATATTAAAAAGTGTAATGAGGTTATCACTTTTGACTTTGTCAGCTGATGTCGGCAAAATGGGAGCAACAAGTTAGAAACCCAAACCATCACGTGAAAAGACAGTGGCCTTGAGGTCAAAATATGACAGAACAGCAAGGCAAGTTGCCAACCGCTAGTGCAATAGAGCGGTAAATTTAAAAAATATGATAAATTGGGTGACAACCTTGTCAGTATAAACCAAAAAATGAAAGACAATGCTGCTTAAGATCACCACTTTACCCTCAGTAATTGGTTAAGAGAAACAGTGAACAAACAAGTGAGGTCAATCCAAAATATCACATATTAAAAAAAGTTTATGTTGTAACTGGTTAGCCAGCCACAGGTGAAGATTAAATTCAACTTCCAACAGTCCAAGGTTCATAATATTTTGGAACTGAGAAACTAATAAAGATTCTATGAATCAATTTAAGTTTTAAAATTTTATTAAACTATTTGATCAGAAAATTATTTCACATATGTAAACGTAACATTAACAAAATTATCAATAAAATATTAGTTGAATAAATCTATATTAAGTTAAGTAAAGTAAGCAAATATTATTTTATTTTATTTTAAAAACAAAAAGAGAAATCATACGATTTCTACCTGGCGAAATCGAATTCAAATATAAGCCGCCGTGCCCCCTAAGACTTGCGAAGCAAACAGCTTGATGAATGCATCGGCAAGGGAGTCTAAAAATTTCACTCCAAATGTCGTTCATCATGGCCTATATTCGTAGTGAATTCGATTTCTGGTACTCAAATGAAGTAAATAAACAAAACAAATGACGGTATTATATTTTGATTTGATACAGAGCAGCAACAAGTCGCATATACGTATTTCGATCTCTTTAGATCTCAGTACGGTATAGTTACTACTCCATATCAAACCAAAATATTTTCCCGTCGTAGATTATAGTTATTAAAAATAACTATTTACGGACTAACTACGCCATCTAAGAACAAAAAGAGAAATCATACGATTTCTACGTGGCGAAATCGAATTCAAATATAAGCCGCCGTGTCCCCTAAGACTTGGGAAGCAAACAGTTTGATGAATGCATCGGCAAGGGAGTCTAAAAATTGCACTCTAAATGCCGTTCATCATGGCCTATATTCGCAGTGAATTCGATTTCTGGTACTCCAAATGAAGTAAATAAACAAAACAAATGACGGTATTATATTTTGATTTGATACAGAGCAGCTCTGTACCAAACTCTGTATCGGTTTTATCTAGGTAAAAGAGGTACGAAGATAATTAGTTTGTAATCGTCATCATTCTAATGGCATGTTGTATTCTTACCAAAAAACAATTAACAATTAATTAACAATTAATATTAACAGTTAACATAATTAAAATAATATTAAATCGAATTTTTGTAAATAACATTTATTTAAATAAAATGATTTTCCCTACTTTTCATTTCGTGTGTCCGATGGGTACTTCTGGTCAGAAACGTTAGAAAACATTATTTTTAAATTCATTTATGTGGGAAAGAAAATACAAATACAACTCTGAATCGTGCTTGTGCTCGTCGTGGCATCGGCGCGCTCCTATCGTTCATAAGAAATTAGTACGTAGCCCTATCTATGCAACGTTCCGTTCTTTGCGTGAAACGTGAAACGCTCTATGAAAGAAAATGGCTTTAGCAATGAAAGCCCTGATGTAGTCCTGCTCTTATCGCCTTCTTTCTGTATTATAATAAAGTGCCTGTTTGTTTGCATTATTTTTAACAAAAATTGGAGGAAATATGCGACTTAAAACAGTAAGTAAGCAATTAATTGTTTTTACCTATTTTGATAAAAAATAATTAAACTATACCTGTTTCGGTTCGTTAAATGTAACCCAATGTTTAACAGATGGAAAACTTGCAAACACCAAATCTGCATAATCAACGAAGTAATCGACAATTTTTGCATTTTCCCATCCACCTAGTTCTTGTAACATTTGAGGTAAATCCCAGTGGTAAATCGTCACTACAGGTTCTATTTTATACTTTTCCAGCTCACGTATTAAATCTTGGTAGTAACTTATAGCTATGATATTTGCTGGAGATATGAAACCATTTGGCAATAATCTAAAAATGCATTTCGGTATAAGCAAAATGTTACAATACAGACCTGCAAAAAATTATTTTTTGAAAGTTGTTTAAAACTTGATCACTGACTTCTATATACTTTTCTGCGCTGATTTAAAAAATGCAAACCATTCTTGTCTATCACGTCAGATCTCACAAAGTAGGGAGTATTTTTGGAAATAATAACAAAATGTAAGCAATTTTTCACCTTTTTTCAACGTTATAAAATTTAGTTTTTTATTAATCATGTTCTAAACTACATTTCCAGTAAACTTATATTTCTCTTTAAGCTCATAAGTGCTTATAATAAAGCTTTCGTTTTCTGTCGAAGCTTCTTTTACTGCTTTTCTGGCTGTGGACTTGTTTAGTATCATCTCTTTTCATCATCCAGCAATAGTCTGCTATCATGCTCATCTTCCGTCTTCCTTGGTGTCTTCTTTCTATTTATTTGATGTCCCGGTAAAATATTTCCTACTGCTCTTCACTGATATCACCAAGGTTTGCCGGGAAATAGTCAAGATATGAGTAGATAAAATGAAGTTTAATGTTAATGTTACAGCCCAGCTTCTTAAAGTTGTCGATCATGTTTGCAACGATTGTCTTGTAGTCTGGATCTCGTTTGTTACCTAGGAAATCAGTAACAACTAATTTAAAAGATGTTCATGCTACCTTTCCATTTGTTTCCACTTTTGTTTATTATCTGAACTTATATTCTGAAGAAATGTTCCAAAACAAGCTCAATAATATCAAAGCGGGAATTATCGTTAACTGAAAATTAAATAACATCTTACGATATGCAGACGACACTGTGATCATAGCAACGAGTATAGAAGATCTACATCTTATCGAAAGTTTAGGTACGAATAGTGCTGAGATGGAAATTACTATAAACGTTAAAAAAAACGAAGTACATGCTAATTAAAAAATGACCACAAAATATATTGGGACCGTGCAAGTTCGGAACAGCGACACCTGGTGTCGTAAATCAGCAAAATTTACTGCGCTTTCATGTTAGATCGAGGTAACCGGATAACTGTCAAGGGCGTAGCCCCAAAAAAGAATAAGAAGAAAATGTAAGATTGAGGTTACGTCGGTATGTTATTAAAAGGTAAACGTTGTATGTAGTGTAAATACAAATAAATATATTATTAAATTACAGCATTACTGTTAATATGGATGCAATAATAAAAACTGGATTTGAGAAAGTAAATCACCAAATAACTTTTCAACCAAGCACTGAGTCAAAGGGAAAAACTTTTAGTAGTGGCAAATGTCAAAAAAGAATGGAAGAATTATGTGGAAGAATTAACCCTTTCACTATCACTTCCCTTTAGAGTGATTACAAAATTCTAATTTTTGGTATACAAAGTACTGTTGCACTATAGATTATTTTTTTTTACATAAAAAGAATTTAACTACCCCCACCCTTCCAGTACAGGATGTCCATCACAATGTACAAACAAAGTTCATGGAAATAAAAAAAACCATTGAGTGTTAATTTTTTATTAGAAACTCTTATAAATCAGATCATTGTCAAAAGTAATATAAATTATAACATTTACTTTGTATGAAATGTGGAAAAACAATTCCTTTCCTTTAAAATACATAAATGAACTTTGCATGTTTGACAAAATATATGTGTCCTGCTCTTACACCCCTCATTTTTGCATCTTGAGGCTTCCTTTTTATCATCATACTGTGGAAGATGATGGTATCCATCAAATCTAAGGTCTTTTAGAGGCCTTATTTCAGTTTTTTTCTTTTTGGAGGGACCTGGATCCTCGAAGCTTTTTGAAGGCCTGCCTCTTTTAGGAGCATGTCTACTGCAGGTTAGATTTTCGGCCACTTCTTGGCGAAAAGCTAACAAATCAAGAATTTCCCTCTTGTTTACTCCCAAAAGAATAGCTTGAGTGCGATACTCAAGCCATGAATTTACCAGGGCTAAATCAATGGCATGAGTGATCATTCTCACAGTCCATTTCTTTGATCTGACATAGGATCGGTATAGACTTAGTAAGAAGTCCAACTTGTCGACGCCGCCCATATTACTGTTGTATCGTCTTATAGCTTCAGGCCTGGGAATCGGCACATATTCTTTTCTTGTTTTGTCCCATCTTTTACATTCATCCAACTCTCCAATTCCAACGAAGTTAGATGCTGTCAGTACTGCCTTGTTATCATACCATTTTGTGATGACAATACCGTCCTTGCTAATTGCGGTAGCAGCAAAACCACGCCCATTTGTTTTCATTTCTTTATCGCTGGGTAACTTTGGATTGGCAAACCGGTTAACTCTTATGGTTCCTATACAGTATATAGACTTGGAGTCCAGATATTGGATCAAATTATAGGTACTAAAGAAATTGTCAAAAAATAGGCCGTGGTTTTTCTCAGATATTCTTTCACTAAGTTGCATAACTACAGCAGCTGCCGATCCATATTTTACGTAAATGGGATTAATGGGCGTTGTTGAACCTTGATAAATCAAGAAATCATATATCAGTCCACTCTGGCCAGCCAAGATGTAGATTTTGATACCCCATTTGTTGGGTTTGTTTTTCATATATTGTTTTATATTTATTTGTCCCTTGAATGGGACTATTTGCTCATCGACACACAAGTTAGTTTCTAGTGGTAGCTGCTGGCATCTTTTTCTTACTGACTCGTACAGACATCTGACTTTCCACAATCTGTAACAAAGCAATATAAATAAAGCAAGTTGAAGCAAATTTTGAAGAAGAAAAAACAAATTGAGTTGAGAGTGAAATAAATTAATTGGCTTATTGGTAGAAAATCTCAACTCTCTATTGAGAACAAACTGCTAATTTATAAAACAGTCATCAGACCTATATGGACATATGGAATCGAACTATGGAGTTGTGCCAGCAAATCAAATACAAAAATAATCCAAATAACGCAATCAAAAATTCTACGCACCATACCAAATGCCCCGTGGTATTTACATACTGCAGCCAATAAACAACAGAAGATTGCGAAGATTATGGCCCATAGATCTTCGCTGAAACTGAGGTGAAATCGCTGGGTCATGTACCTCATAACGCCATATTAGGGTACAATATTATAGTTTTTGTTATTGTGCTTGTTATCAAATTAACTTTGAGAATATGAAATTCTGATTGTTAATAAATTATTATATATAAAAAAAATACCAAAATTTGTTATCTAAATACCTACCTATCTTTGTTGTCTTCATTGCGACTCAAAATATCGACCAAATGTATTGTCTGTCGCAACTTGTAGAATCTAGACAGACTTAGGGAATCTTTTACTAATGGTATTCCTATACTACGGTGCCAATACATGCAGACTCTAGGAAACTGTAAGTTTCCCATAACAATATGGACCCCAATAAAAGTCTTGATTTCATCCAAGTTTGTAGGTGGAAATCGAGCAATATTTTTTTGTGTAGCATATAAATTTGTCATATCAGCCATTTGTTGTAGTATCTCATCAGGAACATATTTGGTAAAAAATTCAACTGGTGGTGGCAAATCTACAACAGGGGTAGTCGGAACGGTTGAATGCCAATGAATATTTCTTGTTTCGTATTGTACATTTTCCCCTTGTATCCAATTTATTTTTGATTTGTCAGTAAGACCATGTTCTTTCTCAAAATTTGTTTGGTTCCTTTTCATCTCATCTTTGTCATTTTCCCCCATATTTTCACCACTTACAGTTAGCACTAACCTTTCTTCTTCATCTGCCAAATCTACATCTTCAACGTCGCTGTTTTCAGGCTCATTTTCCTTTCCATTATTTTTATCTATAGTTACATCTAGAATGTCATTATTTCTTTGTTCTCTAGATATTTCGTCTGACTCCCAACCATCATCATCATCTGACAGGTACTCAATATCTGAAACATCATCGTTCTCGAGATAATAAAGAAGTTCTTCTTGGGTTAGCTTTCTTTTTGAATTTTTTCTTGCGTTTGCCATTATCTAAAAAACAAAAACAAACGCATGAAGGACAAACATTAGTAAATATCCATATAAAACAAAAAAAATTAAAAATTTGAAAACTACATTTAGTCAATTTTTAGGGGTGCCCCTCCCTCAACAATTTATTGTCTCGCGTCTCCACCATACCGACACTACTAATACCAAATAGAAATAAAATTTATAACTTTTGCAAAAACATGGTCTAATAATATATTGTCCACAAACTGCGTTTGTACATGGTAATGTACATACTAATTCAAACTACATCTGTGGACTTTGTATTATATAAAGCAATATAAATTATTATGGAACTCCAACGTTGAAACATGTACTTACCAATAGCAAATCATAAAACTTCTAATTTTAGTAGATTTACAAGAAAACGTAAAATATATCACATAACCTAAAATGCACCTGTTTGCACAACACGCCACTCACGTTTTAAATGTTGCCTAACGTCTATTGTCAAACTTTATCGCACTTACTACCAACCTAAAAACTTAAAAATAGGTTGTACTTTCTGACGTACAAATGTAGATTAGGAGATAAATAATTCTGAATTTCATATAAGGCAATGAAATTCAATGTACATGGTGATGTACAAAAATAGTGAAAGGGTTAAGAAAAATAAATTACCATAAATAATGCTAATGCATAAATTAGCAGGTTAAGCCCATGACATCATCATATTGGTTTGAACAATTAATTCTTTCCCTGTAAACTATTGGACAGCGAATATAATATCTTAATGCATTTTCAGAAAAAACTTGAACTTGATGCATTTTTGAAAACTTCAAAAAAATAAAATTTAAACATTAAACTTGATTTTTGGGTTATAAGTGAGTATTATGAAACTAAAATTTACACTTAAAAGTGAACTTTTATTTATTATTTATTTCAAACTGACTTTGTTGTTGTTTGTTTGTGTTTAAATGACTGCGGACACTAAATCCATTCGCCAATCTTACAATTTGAGGTGTAGTGTGTGTGTGTGTGTAGAGTAATTGTCTTGATACTTAGCAAAGTCGACGTCATTGTCTTTGCTAAGAGACGCTAATTGTATCCGAACGTCTGCGGCCCCTCCGGTGTGAATCGGGCGCAAGAATAATGCATAATTTAGGTTATGTTACTTATGCTTTTTTATGATATAAATCCACTTTTCTCTTTGTAGTAATTTGTGCTTTGAAGTTGGAAACGAATAAAACTTAAATTGACAATTTTTTGTTGTATTTTTACAATTTATAACACAGCATTTCCTAAATTCCATTTTTTTCAGTGACAGAAGGTGTAAATAAACAAACGAATATGAAATATGACAATTGACAATATGAATTTATGATATCTATGAAATGTGCAGTAAAAAATGCAAGATTTCTCCGCTACTCGCGCACGATCGTTCCTCGTATCACATCCAAGTACTTGCACGTCGCCAATATCACCTGTTGAAAATCAATAATTTGAAATATTGATACAGCCCTATTACAAGACGAGAAAGTTAAGGAATCAGTTCAAAGACAACTGAACGAAAATTTAATGTGGGAAAATATTGGTGAAAACGTAGATGAGGGCTTAAATAAAATCGTAACAACAGTAAAAGAAATCTGTGTGAGAAATTTACAAGGCATGTCAAAATAAAAAATTAGTCTTGGATGACAGATGACATACTGGATTGGATGGAACAACGGCGACTAGTGAAAAACAACGAAACACTTTACAATAGCATACAAAAAGAAATTCGACGTAAAATACCAGAAGCAAAGAGTCAACATCTAGCCAAATAGTGTCATGACATTGAAGAACTTGAAAAAGATACCACACGTTTAACATGTATAAAAAAGTGAAAGACGTAGCTGGTATCTTCAATAAGAAACAAACTGCATTGCTACAGGATGAAAATGATAAAGTAATATTTGAAGTAGAGGACAAACTTAAAGAATGGCAAAATTACGTCACGCACCTATTCGAAGACGATAGCAGTAGTTCACCTCCCGGTATTACTAATTGCGACGGACCCATAATAACGCGCTTTGAGGTTATAAAGGCCATACAGTCATCAAAAGATGACAGAGCGACTGGTTCTGATGAAATTCAATCTGAAATATATAAGCTTATAAATAATAGTAATGTTTTAGAGGCTATACTTCGTTTTTTAATACCATTTATACCAGCGGACAACTACCTAATGGTTGGTCTAATTCACTGTTTATAGCTCTACCTAAGAAGACAACAGTAAAAACCTGTGCTGATTATAGAACCATCAGTTTGTTAAACCACTTATTGAAAATTTTTCTGAAGGTAATACATGGAATTAATACCTGGATGACACTCAGTTTGGTTTCCGTAACGGGTTTGGAATGAGAAAGGCACTGTTTGGAATAAACGTACTTGCTCAAAGATGTCGTGATATATCTGTAGACATATATTGTTGTTTTATTGACTTCCAAAAGGCATTTGACCGTGTTAAGCACTCTATATTGATCGAAGCTCTAAAAAACATTGGCTTGGACGGCAGAGATGTTCGAATAATTGCAAATTTATATTGGAATCAAACAACATCAGTTTTAGTAGATGGTGTGAAATCACAGGCTCTCAATATTAAAAGAGGAGTTCTGCAGGGTTGCCTCTTGTCACCCCTGCTTTTTAACGTTTACTCCGAAAGAATTTTCAGAAAACCACTTTCTGAAAAACAAGAAGGGATACTTGTGAACGGCGAAGTCATCAATAATTTGCGATATGCGGACGATACAGTACTCCTAGCTTCTAGTCAAGAAGATCTGCAAATACTACTTGATAGTGTCGTTGAAAGTTGTAAGGAGGCAGGTCTGGATCTTAACATAAGGAAAACCAAAATACTCGTAATAAGTAAACAACAGCATATAAAACCGTCTATACATGTAAATAATACCAAACTTGAGCAAGTTGATAAAATCATTTACCTTGGACAGCAATTAAATTGTAACGCAGAAAGTCACGGCGAAATTAGATCCAGTATAAAGCAGGCCAGAGCTACTTTTAGAAAGATGTCCATGGTGTTATGTAACAGAGACCTAAAACTGGCATTAAGGGTCCGCCTACTTCGCTGCTACTTGTTCGAGTAGCTGTCTTACTTTATGCTGTCGAGTCCTGGACTGTGAATAAAATCGATCTAAATCGCCTTCGAAATGTGGTGCTATAGAAGAATTTTAAAATTTTCCTGGGTGGAGAAGATTCGAAACTCCACAATACTAGAACGTCTCAGCAAGACTGCTGAGATCATAAAAAGCATCAAGCAGAGAAAGCTGGAGTATTTCGGACATGTAATGAGAGGCCCAAAATATAGGTTGCTACACAATATCATGCAAGGAAAAATAGCAGGCAAACGCAGTCCAGGACGAAGAAGAACCTCATGGTTGAAGAACTTGCGAGATTGGTATGGTGTTGATACAAGCATGCTATTTAGGGTGGCAGTGAATAAAATTAAGATATCTATGATGGTAACCAACGTTCTGAAAGGACATGGTACATGAAGAAGAAGAAGTTAACAATCAATGGTAACGTGATAGAACAAGTAGAAAAATACCAGTACTTGGGAACTTTGATCAATGAAACCAATGATCATACTGCATAAATAAACAGGCGAATAGAGATTGCCAGATCAGCATTTATACGAATGAAGCCACTTAGACTACGTACCATTCGCTGTTATATACTTTCAATATTATTATATGGAGCTAAGACTTGATATTAAAAAATGCAATTTAAAAAGAATCGAGGCTTTCGAACTCTGGTTATACCTCAGAGTATTAAAAATATCATGGACTGATAAAATTACAAATAAAGAAGTACTGGAGAGGGTTGGTAAAGAAACAGAACTAATTACCGCTAAACAAACCAGAAAACTGGAATACCTAGACCACGTGATGAAAGGACCAAAATATGAAATTTTGAGACTCATAATACAGGGAAAGATAAGGAAGCAGATCTGTTGGCCGAAGGCGGAACTCATGGTTGAAGAATCTACGTGATTGGTATCAATGCAGATCGAATAGCCATTATGATTTCCTACCTCCGTAAGAAGACGGCACTCTGAGAAGAAGAAGGCTTTTCCTCTCAATGTTTTTAACCTTTACTTGTAAGCTTTTTCTCAAGAGCCATAGTTTTTTTATGTAGTGTTGTTTTCTGTCTCTACTGTCCTATTTACAGAGAAAGCAAGGGAAATTTGTATAGCCACTTTGTTAAAGAAGCGGTATTAAAATCACTTTTACATCACCACATAGAGTTAGGGATGGGAAAAACCTACGGGTTTTAACCGAAAACCGGTTTTTTTACTTCGCAATAACCGGTTTTATCAGTTGTTTTTTGGTCTCGGTTATAACCGGTTTTTTATTTTTAAAGTAAAGATCGGTTATTAGGTTTTTACGGTGATTAGGTTTGGTATTATTTTGGATCGCAGTCATAATTATTATTCTCAAGTAATTATTTCAAACAAAACCATAATTCAAATTTTATTTTATTTTATAAATACAAAAGCAAACTGAAAGTGCAAACTCACATCAGCCAGAAACAATTAAGTTTTATTATAATATTTCGTTGAAAAGGTGTTTAAAATCATAATATTTACATAAGAAACATCATATATTTTTCACACTTGACTCTTGATATTGAAAGTGGGTGAATGGCTTTTGCTGATTACCAAAAATAATGTTCTGACTATGAATATTGAATTACTGGTTATGAATACGAATCTCCAAGGATTTCCCTACGTTTTTAAAACGATAGGAAGTAATAAATGAGTTAGTACCTATTATACAAATATACAAACGTGTTTAAAGTAATACATGATAAATTTTTTTTGATGGTAGTAAAAATAAAAGATGAATTGCATTATCCAATTTATTTTTAAGTAAAATATTTGTGTTGATATTATATTTTTAAGTCCCATTTAAAGAGTCTGGGAAATTTTTTATAAATTGCAATGGTTGAGGAATTTTTAAAAATAAAATAGGATAAAATGTTAAATTCCTTGCAGAGCATCAACTTGGATAGTAAAGATCTCCGATTAATTAAGAACTTATATTGGAGGCAGAGTGCCAAGATTAGGATCGACGATCATACATCTAGAAATATTAGTATAAATAAAGGAGTAAGGCAAGGATGCATACTATCCCCTATGATGTTCAATCTTTACTCGGAACTACTATTCAAGCAAGCCTTGGAAAACCTTTCCACAGGAATAAAAATTAATGGAGAATCAATATCTAGCATAAGATATGCAGATGACACTGTCCTACTGGCTGATACAGACACAAACTTACAAGGGGTTATAGACCACCTTAAGGATGCTTGTCGAGAGTTTGGAATGAAGATCAACGAAAAAAAAAAAAAACAAAAGTAATGGTGATCCAAAGAAAACAGAATATCCCCTTACCTATAAAAATAAATGGGAATATTTTAGAACAGGTAAACCAATACAAATACCTTGGCTGTTGGATTAATTGCAAGCTGGACCCAGAACAAGAAATTAAAGCGAGAATTGCTGAAGCTAGGGATAGTTTCTTTAAGATGCGCGTTCTATTCTGCGATACACATATAAATATTAAATTGAGATTAAAACTTGGAAAATGTTTTATCTGGTCTGTTCTTCTCTACGGAGTCGAAACGTGGACTTTAAAAATAAAGAGCCTGAATAGAATCGAGGCATATGAAATGTGGGTATACCGTAGAATTTTAAAAATTCCTTGGACAGCACGAAAAACAAATGAAGAAGTACTAGCTAGACTCAATTTAGAAAAAGAACTATTGAGAACAGTCAAAAGAAGAAAAACCAGTTATTTAGGGCATTTGTTGCGCAACGAGAAATACTGCATCCCTCAGTTGATAATAAAAGGCAAAATAGAAGGAAAGCGAGGAATTGGAAGAAAAAAATTGTCCTGGTTACGTAATATCAGAAACTGGACAGAACTTGGATTTGAGGAACTCTTAAAAGCAGCTGAAGATAGACAAACGTTTGCCACCATAACCGCTTACCTCCATTGATGGAGACGGCACTTGAAGAAGAAGAAGAGGAATTTTTTAAGTTTGGGAGGAGAGGAAAATTGGTGGATATTTTAAAGGATTATATTTTTAAATGATAAATTAAATTTGCATCAATAATTGGCGGGTGTTGGGGAAAATTGATATAAGTCGAAAAATGTAAAAAATGAGTTAAACATAGATACCACTTTCAAATGCCTGTATCTTTGATAGGGTGAAGAGATATAAGTCAATTTAATGCGGCAAGCAGGTGTTATTTGTTTGCGTTACATGATATAAGTATTTTTAATATCATTTAATATAGTGAAAAATGTTATAAGTATTCTAGTACTATTTGTTATGCCTCCATCTGCCAGACAGGAAAAAAAAAATTATAGAGAAAACTGAAATAAGTCTAGTTACTTATAATAGTCTTCCCTATATAATTTTATGATTAATATTTGTGAATAGTGATACAAGTGCAAATATATCAAAAGTTATTGGTAAAATATGATTGTGAATAAAGATATATGTAAAAATATATCACTATTCTCATTAAAAAATATAGGGAAAAACATTATATGTTGACATATCACAAATGTTTTAACTCCAAAATTGAAAACTGATGATGTATGTGGAGATATACTAGTAGTTACGGCAATAGAAATTCAAACTGTGCAGTTTTAGGTCGACTTACCTCGCTTTTCCCTATTAAAATAATTACCGCTTTGTACCCGCTCAATCGACTTGTCTGTCATTTGTGGTTTAGTACTGCACGTGTGTTACTGTTGGTTTTATCCACTTGTGTTTTGACCTTTTAAATAAGCTTTAAGTATTCGAGAGAAATGTAATAAGTAGTGTAGTGATAGTATACCTCACCTAGTTGTAATATAACATCAATTCCTGTTCAAGATTATTTAATAATAGCCGTGAGAAATAAAAATTAGAGGTTATGGCATCTCAAAGAAGCAAATTGATTTTCAAACTGTTGGAAGAAGATAATGTAAATACTGGAGACCTCCAAGGTAATAATTGTTTATTTATCTGTACAATAATAATTAAAACAGTAATATCATTATTTTTTATACGACATACTAGATTAACAACATTTAATTTTGCGTAAAAGTTTTCTAGATGCAACTCAACTATAACTTGGTGAATATGCCTATTGTTTTTGGTTAACTTTAACCAGTGGCGTCACTTTAATTTGTATCTCTAAAAATTTTAAAAATTAATGTATGTAAAAGTTGATGCTTAACTTACATACTCAATTCCAATTTCAGATTTCTTATCATTTTATACATAAAATAATATATTTTCGGTTTTCTCTAAAGGGGACCGAATTTCCATAAAAAGTAAAAATCAGTTTTGGCGTGACAATTTTCATTTTTCTGGAAAAAAAAATTTACAAAACTTATTAGTTTTTCAAAAATCTGATATTAATCTGGGTTTTTAGATGAAAATTCCATGATGGGCAATGCGGATGTTTTCCTTGAAGAACCTGTCTTAGCAGATGAAGATAATAGATCAAGTCCTGCACCTTCACTGTCCTTCTGTGAACCGAATGTTCGAAAGACTTTGGAAGAAGTTATTGATCAAGTATGTGGGATTGATGACGACGACAAAGGTTATCTGGAATATCCAGGTAATGATGAGGCGTTTGATGATAGTGACGCGGACCCAGATTATATACAAGAAAGTGATACTGACTCCGATAATGACATCCCAAAGAAAAAGCTGCAAAAAGATACAACAGCACTTATTGCACATGGGTCAGGAAGAGAAATCTTAAAAAATAAACCTGGACGAAAATCGCTAAAAAATGAAACTAGGCTAATTCGTGAGGAACGAAAGCAGAACAGAAACCTTGGGTTATCGTACACCACGAAAAGTGGGAAGGTTATAAAAGCACGGACATGTCAGGAGCTATTAAGTTGCCGCTTAAAATGCAAAGACAGGATAACTGAAGAAAAACGGCAGGAAATTTTCAAAGAATATTGGTCTTTAGCGAGCTTTAACAAACGCGTGTTTTTTATAGCTAGGCTTATAACAACAGACGGAAAGAAATCCACAAAACGTAAATTAGAAAACAAAAAACATAAAAATAGGCTTCTGTCACACAAATATTTTTTACCACTAAATGGTCAACTAGTTAACGTTTGTCAAAGTTGTTTCCTAAAAACTTTTAACGAAACAAAACGGTTTCTAACCGATGTGACAAAAAACAAGATTTCTTCAGCTTCTGCAATGCCACATGATGATTTGCGAGGTCTTGCCTCACCATCTAACAAAACTCCCGAACAAGATATTCAATTAGTAAGAGTTCACATTGGATCAATCCCAACGTTCGAGAGTCACTATTGTCGTCGTGACTCATCAAAGATATATCTTCCTCATTACTATACCTTAACAAGAATGTATGAAGAATACAAAAAATGGCTACCTTACAAGAAAACCCCAGTATCGAAATTCAAATATCAAGAAGTATTCCATTCCATGGAAATAAAAATCAAACAGCCTAAAAAGGATACCTGCGCTACATGCGAAAAATATCATATGCTCCTGAAAACAACTAAAGATGCACAAAAAATGCAAGAAATTCAAAATCTTCTTGATAATCACCAACAAGAAGCATCAAACGCTTATGAGGCTAAGCGTATAGATAAAAATGCTGCGTTAGAAAATGCATCAAAAATCATTTATACGTTTGATTTGCAACAGTGTCTCCCCACACCTGATCTTCAGACTTCAATAGCATTCTATAAAAGGCAGTTGTGGATCTTTAATTTAACATTACATAGATTTAATGATAATCAAGCAATGTGTTTTATGTGGCATGAGGGCGTAGCTGGACGGGGTGCAAATCAGATTGCGTCATGCTTATACAAGCAGATTTCACATATTTCACCTGAAATAAAAGAGATCACCTTATATTCTGATACGTGTGCAGGACAAAACAAGAACTCTTTTCTACCTGCAATGTTCATGATGGTTTTAAAAGAGAATCCCAATCTATCATACATTAACCACAAATTTCTTGTTCCTGGTCACACCCACATGGACTGTGATTCAGATCACGCAATTATAGAGAAAAAAAAGAAAAGATATCCATGTTCGATAGAACACCCAAGAGACTGGATGAACTTGGTAAGATTATGTGGAAATAAGCGAACTTTTTTAGTTACTGAAATGCGCAGATCGGATTTTCTTGAGTTTTCTTCTTTGTATAAGAATGTCCTTCAACAAAGAAAAATTAACAATTTAGGAGAAAAAGTCATGTGGAAACAAATGAAATGGTTGAGATTTTCACAGAATCCTGGTGTCCTTGAATACAAAAGTAGCTTAAATGTAGACGAACCATTTAAAAGCGTATGTTTTTTAAGAAAAGGTAATACGTGGCCTAAAAACATGAAAATTCCTCTGTCATATAAAGGTCCCAATCCAATAAACATCGATAAAAAAAAGAACTTGATAGAGCTATTGCCTTATATTTCTGAAACATTTCATGATTTTTATAGAAATTTAACTACGAAGGAGGATATACCAAATACGTTACCCGAGGATGAAAATAGTAGTGACGAGGAGAGTGTACACACAGAAATTGAAATTTTTAAAAATTAGATAAACTTTTACGTTGTATTTGACTATAAATGTACCCCCTTAACTAAACATAAAACTTTTCAGTTTCACATTTTTTTATTTATATTTTATAATTAGATTTGTTACTATATCTTCCGGAAGGGCTTTTTTCTTTAATAAATAATTGTGAAAAGTGATATAAGTCATATTTTTCTTAAAAAATTGTACAAATAGGTCCTTTTTACTAGTAGATCTAGTTTAATCCAACAAATTCAAAGCCATTTCCAAAAATTGTTTAACGAAAATATCTTATTTGTATCCGTAACAACAATATTAAATTTGAAAAAAACTATAATTGCGTTTTTCTCGAAACTTAAAATTTAGACTTATACCACTTTTCTCCAACACCCGCCAATTAAATACGATAATTGCATATTATATTCTACTCTCAGAATATATTCAATGACAATAGAACCTGAATTATTTCAGCGCTCTCTGTTGAGCAGTAGTATAATATTATATTTAATTATAATTAATAAATATATAATAATAATAGAATAATAAATAAATATAATAATTAATAAAATAAAATGGTTTTATTAAAAATTGTGTCTTATTTATATTGATGTTCTTTCGATAGTACTAATTTTGATAATATTGATATCGAGTCGAATGAAGTATCGCAAACTAAAGTGCATTGTAAATGTAACTTTGTAATCTATTGGATTAAAAAAAAACGAAAAATCGGTTTTTGGAAAAATCGGTTTTTTTTTGTCGGTTATAACCGCCAGGTTAAACCGTAAGCAAAAAAACCGGTATAACCGAAAACCGGTGTTTTGTCAAAAACCGCCATCCCTACATAGAGTCCATTTCTGTTCTGAATTCTGAATAGCAGAGTTTGCTTATATTTTCGAGTAAGCCAAGTGTCCAGCTGGTAGAGCTGGACACTCGGCTGGACTTACTTATTGCCATTGTATAGACGAGTTGTTTTAAGGCTTCTTTTTGAAGAATCAGTAAAAAGTCTTCACTCCTTAAGAGCATATTCTAGGAAGGTTCTACTACTTTCTTGTCAAATAGTAAAGGTAAATACTAGGTTTTTATGGGATTGAGCCACAATTATTAGTTGTGATTATGATGAAAATCACATTTTTAATTAACAAATATTTAAAGTTTCGATTTCCACTCTGGAAATAGTAAAAAGATAACATAAAGTATAATCAAATTACGAATATAAAAGTGGGTAACTAGACTATAGAAATAGACAGATATCATATTAATATAGTGCTGAGTATGACGACGTAAAGGCATAATGTCTTTCCTTCTCTTTCACATGTACTCTGACCAAAAAGACCGGATTAAAATATAATATTTAAAACCTGAAAAAATTGAAAAAAAAAAACATCCTATATCATTTTCAAATGATACTTAAAACATTACAACGTTTCACCGCAAATGGAGTCGTTATTCTGTTACAATTTTTTTTAAACAAAATATGTGCTGCCTGCACTGATACTTCCTTACAGTTAAATACAATATGAAAAAAGTATTTTTAAGACAGCAAGATCTTACTATAGCATTTTTCATATAAAAAAGCTTATACGTCATTCAAGATTTACGTCGTCAGAGCCCCACAGCGTTGCCAAAACATCGGAATAGTTAGTAAGAGGAATTTTTAAAATATCAAATATTTGTCAAACTATTATATTAACAGTACATACACTTAATTTTAAGACTACTGCAACACATTAAAATATATAAGAAAACATTTTAATACAAAATTATATATTCTAAATTTTAAACTTACCTCTTTTAGGGCTTTAATAGTAAAAACTTCCCGCCATGATCTCTTGTTTAAAATAATCTATCTTATATGAAAGCTTATCAGCTTTCTACAAATTATTTATTTGTTTTGGCATATCACAATTACAAAACACAACAATAATTAGTTCTTAAAGCTATTAATCTATTAATATCTATTAATATATATACATATATTATATTATGATCAAATTGTATAAGAAATCAAAATATAAACAAAATTCCTACTCTAAAAAAGCGGCAACACTTTATACACTTTTGCCACACGCTTAACTGTCAATAAAATTTGAAGTATTCCCGTATCAGTTGCGTACAATTGTCTAATATATTTAATTACAATTATTATTTTGTGGAATATTAGAGTTAAAGAGTTATTTCGTAAAATTTATATTATTAATTATTACGAATGTTTTTGGTTATTTAATCAATATAATTCTAAAATTTACAATAAAATGATAATTATATTTTTCGGATTATTAAACTCATGTTGACTCCTATGAAAGATCGAGCAGTTCCGTATGGGTTTCGCATTATTAGCTGTGTTAGGAAAATCTGAACTCTAAGGTTGATGTTCCGGAAATTTTAAATACTTTATTTTAAATAAAAAGTCATGTTACTTTATATTAATCGTGACGTGCAAGTGTTTTACTTTGAAAAATGGTATATATCAAGTTTTGCGGTTTCTCCTCTTGTAGTGGATTTTAGAAAACTATAGCTAAAAATTGAGGAATCAGAAAATCCCCCTTTTGTGTTTATTTACCTAGACCAAGAAATGGAAAATCTGTAATGTGTCAAACCCATTTTAGCAGCCAAAGCCACATCTTCTGCATATTTATGATACGAATTACAGGCAATATCTGCGTTACTACCATCTATAACTCTTGATTGATTTGTATGAACGAAATGATCCCAGATGTTTTCCCCTTTTCCATTTTCGTTCCACGCTCCTTCTATTTGAAACGCAGCTGTTGCCGCTCCAAATGAAAATGTTTCGGGAAAAGTTCTGTCACTGTCAGCAAGGCTGGAAATAAAAAAAAAAAACGTTATATTAAGCTTTTTTATAAATTGTTTACAGATTCCTACTTATTGTAAAATATTGAAAAATATTCCAGAAGAATATTCGGAACCGTATTAAGCATATACGGTTGGCAAGGTAAATCTTTTTAATACAAAATTTAGCCCTGCTTTCTTTATATTGCTTGCAAATAAACCAACTCACAATAAGTTTGTCACCAATATTGGTGACAAACCAAGCCCCATATTTCTGTATTTGATAAGAACAAGGAAGGTGGAAGCAGGAAAAAACTTTACACTCCTGAAAGAAGGTTAAATACACAAAGAAAACTGGATAGTGACAGACAGTCTTGACGTACAGGCATTCACCAGTGGTAGTTTTAAAGACATTAGTCAGGATCTTAAAAAACTTATGGAAATGGAATAATGGAAAAACAGAATTAAATAAATAGCTAACAGAATTCTCAACCCAGTGGTAAAAATAGGTCAAATTGGCTAAAACGCTAGGTTAATTAAAAAAAAAGAGAAAAAATATAACAAACTGTGGAATTTTTGATAAAACTTCAATTGAACAAATGTCTGTGGTTATTTATGAAGAACCAAGTACAAGTTTCAATTTCAGAGCAGAAGATTCAGATAATTTTTAAGGTATTGTCCAACTAAAGGTCTCAGATAACATTAAATCTAAAGATAAAATGCCTATTGATAATGTGGAAGAAAACATTACGAAACTACAGATCTTCAGTTGAAAGTGCCTGAAAATGAAAATGAGCAATGATATCTAATGCAGAGGTTGGTGCTATTACTGGAGTTCCTGATTATGGAATTATTGATAAAGGAAGAAAAAGACAGAAGAGTGCAGATCAAAGTAAATGGATGCGAAATAAAAGTAAAATGCTGCTAATTTAGGGTAAGGCTTACGCTGGGTTCACTAGAGGCAAAGATAATGTAGTTTGGCATAATAACGAAAGAGACCAAGGAAAATTCGGACCCACCTGTGTATCTAAACTAACTATAAACTGCAGACGGTTCATAGAAAAAATGAGGAAGCTATTTTTAATTCCTTTTGAGATAAACTAAATTGGGACCAACGGAAAGTTTATATTTGTTCGTATGTCAAAAGACATTGTGTGGCTAGGTTAACGGTAGGAGGGGACTCAACTAGGGGAGAGGGAACTCTACGTTACGCCTTAACCAATGCAAATGAAAAAACTTACTATCTGTGGAACTATGTTTTTACGTACTTTTGCCTTTGGATTTTTTACTGTTCAAAATTGGGTAAAAGAATCGAAATACACAATGCATCCTGAAACTGATTATTTGAATAAGTCCAGATTACATAAAAACTACAGAGTCAGATCGCTTGATGCGTCGGTCGCATTATGTAAGGACAGATTCCAATAAGCTTTATCTGAAGGAGAATTTTACTTCTCTAAAACAAGTTTTTGAGGTTTATGAAGCAGAGTGCTTCAGAGAGAAGAACAAAATTGAAGCATTAGGGAGATTTTTATTTGAGAAATATTTCAAAATAAATAACTTGAGCTTATATTAGCCTAAGAAAGATCAGTGTAATTTATCTAATATACGTATGAATGGAAATTTGAATGACAAGGCTTTGCAATAACATGTTGCAATGAAAGAAAAGATAAGAAAAGGGAAGGAACGTGACAAAGAAATAGCTAAACGAAATGAGGTGAACCGCCATTTATTTCAAAACCAAATTAAGCTATCATAACTTCATCCTCTATAATGTTGCCAAACATGACACTACCTGTTCTGTTGGTAAAAGTTAATGCCGATCTATGTGCATCAATTTTTGTATCATGCATTGTGGACCACTTAAAAGAAAACTGTTTGCCTTTGAAAATACCAACTATAATATATGGTGGTGGTTGCATCTTTCAAAACCGGAATGGAGTATTAGTCAACGCACTGCTCAATTTATTGATACTATACAATGTACCAATCATTAGAAATTTTTTGAAAATGGTCATTCTCAAATGTAAGTGGATTCAGTCCACTGTTCTATTGAGCCTAAACTCAAAAATAGAAAAATTTATTTAACAAGTGTATCATCTAGAATTACTGAAGAAGCAAGAATGAAACCAACACCATATAAATATAAACAATTATAATATACTTTTTTTGCCAATTATTCTTTGGAAGAACACAGGCGCTACAAATCCATAAGACCTGGTAGATCAATGGCAGATCCTCAAGGGACCGATATAAAAGTCATGAATTCTAGTCCTGAGGGAATGATTCAGGTGAAGCTTGATACGGATAATCCTTGGCCCAATCTATTTTGTAGATTGAAGATAATGGCAACCATAGAACATTATCCAAAAATGTATAGTGAAAAATTAAAATTAACAAATAAGAAATTGATGCACTTACAAGAACTAAAAGTGTTATTCCTAAGGATTGTCATGCCAATTATGACTTACTTTCCTATGAGGACAATTAAGAATCTTTTGTCATTGAAAAATGCCTTTTTTAATATTTGGCTGATTTTTTCAATTTTAATTAAAGAAATTCTTTTAGCCAAAATTTACATATGAACATGCACATACATGAACTTACTACAAAACAAGTAAAAAAATCATATGAAAACAGGAACTGACCCTAAAAAAGGTTTTTCGTCTCTCCTACAAAACTCATATTATAGCAGATAGTAGGTATTGGTCATATCACCGACGATATATAATATTTCTAGTAAAATAATTATAATATCTTATTTATTTTAAGTCTAATAAAAATAATATATTTAATTGTCGACATACATGGTCACTTAAAAATGGACCTTCTACTCCTGGATAACAAATGTTAATTTGTGATGACCCTAAAGGGCAAAAGTACAGAAATCCTAGAGTTTACTGTGTATTATCTAGAGCAGCGATACTCAAAGTGTGTTCCGCGATACCCCTATAGGGGTTCCGCGAGAATTTAGAAAAAAAATCAAAACACGTCTCTCTGGTCGATTGTTCTGATGCGGCAGCACGATTCACGAGGCGCAGTCGAACTTATTTGCCTCGTACAATTTTACTATGCCTGCCTCTGCCCATATCTCTTCTGAGCGACCAATCCTCGACGACCGCACCTCTTGACACTTGGCACTTTGACTCGGTGCTTTGTTAGTCAGTCGGCGATTAACGCATGATTAACGTTCGGAGCGATAAGTATCTACCTGCTATAAAAATATTTATAGAAACAAAGTGTTTATTGTTCTACTGCTGTATTCTGATTGTATCAGTTTTGTACATTCTATAGAAAAAAGTGTTTATTCTACTGTTGTATTCTCATTGTATCAGTTTTGTACATTTCTTCTTTGGATTAAACTGTACTGCAGTAAGGGTCGTCAGTTATTTTTTTATTTTTAACAAAGAAGAATGGAACGTTGGCTTAAAGTCGTTAAATGTGATGCAACAACATCTTCTACACAAGGCGAATGCTCGAAAGCAGTACTCGCAGAGTATACAGCAATTACCGATCAAGACGATTATGCAACGACGTCAAGTTCCACAGTTTCAAAGGCGAAAAAAGGAAGTATGATGAATCATATACCAGTTTCGGATTTGTTGATTCCAGCGGCTCACCTGTCTGCATGCAATGTAGTAAACTGTTTCCTAATAGTTTCATGGCACCTGCCAAGTTGCGCCGACATTTAGAAACTGTATACCCCGAGTCTAAAGGTAAGAATAAAGAATTTTTTCTACGTAAAAGAACAGTTATTGGAAAGTCAAAAAACTATGATGCATGTAACTCAAACTATCAATGAAAAGGCCACAGAGGCATCATATTTAGTTAGCTATCGCATTGCACAAGCAGGTGAAGCGCACACTATCGCTGAGATTTTAATAAAACCATGTGTGTTAGACATATCAAAATGTAAGCTCGATGAAAAACCTGCAAAGCATCTTTCTACTGTGCCGCTATCGAATGATACTGTTTCACGGCGAATTCATATTCTGGCAAGTTACGACAAACAAGAACTAGTTACACGTCTACAAAAAACACGATTCACCTTGCAAATAGATGAGTCTACCGATGTCGCTGGTCTAGCTCTCTTGCTGGTTATCGTGAGATATCCATATGAAAGTTCTTTTGAAGAAGACATGCTGCCCATAAACACAACTGGAGAGGAAATTTTTAATAAAATAAATATATTTTTTGAGGAAAATAATATGAGTTAAAACGATTGCATTGCCAATTGAACAGATGGGACCAAGGCGATGACAGGTAATACAGCAGGACTAGTGTCACGAATAAAAAATAAAGCTCCTAAGTGTAGTTCCAGCCATTGTATCCTGCATAGACAAGCACTTGCGATGAAGTATATATATATATATATATATATATATATATATATATATATATATATATATATATATACGCCTTTCCGGTAGGGATCTATGGAGGAGTATCACCGAGCCGCAAGCACTTATCTCTTGCCGTACTGCTCCACCATAGGCCGATCAGACACCAGCATATTCTAGTCTAAGCCGATTCATTTTAGAATTTTAAACTGCTGCGTTAACCTTTTTGTTTTCTGTACACCGCGCTGGGGATCGAAATCACTAGCATTGAAGCGAGTGAGAAGCCGGCCGCCCAGCCCGCTTGGCTATCTGACCAAAGCGATGAAGTAAATGCCGTCAAATCTAAAATTTGTTATGGATGAAGCGGTAAAAATAATTAATTTTATCAAATCACGACCACTATAACCTCGATTGTTCTCTTTGTTGTGGGGAGATTATGGCAGCAAATATAAATACTGCTGCTTCATACAGAAGCGCGATGGCTGTCTCGGGGTAAAACTTTAACAAGGCTATTTGAACTTAAAGCCGATTTATAAATGTTTCTTTCAGATACTTCTTTTAATTTTAAAGACCGTTTGTATAATAAAACTTGGTTGTTCCGATTGTCTTTATGGGGGATATCTTTCAAAAACTGAACGATTTAAATTTATCATTGCAAGGTAAACAGACAACAGTGTTTCATGCCTGTGACAAAATAACTGCATTCAAAACAAAATTAGATTTTTGGATTATTTGCGTCGGAAAGAGAGAAAGCTTTACGTCACTAAGTGTATGTTAGCGATAACAACGAAATGTTATAAGATGATGTATTTGAAGAATTCGTCAAATATCTCACTTCGATGCGTGCATCTTTTGATAAGTATTTTCCCGAAGAACAGAACACAAAAATCAAACTGAATTCATGGATTCATAATCCTTTTTTATTCAACTTACAAAAGCCCGAAATTATGTCAAACGAGATATACGAATCTCTTTTAGAAATGTCATCAGACACATGTATGGAGTCACTGTTTAAAACGACGCCTCTCAACGATTTTTGGTGCAGAATCCGCATCGAGTTAGAATCTATGGAGAGGGCATCACGTGACTAAAAACGACCTAACTTCGGCCATATTGGTATTATTGTTTTGAAACTTTTGACAGATCGTATATGTTTGGTTATATTTGTTGTTTTTCGAATCTTTTCAGTTTTATAATAATTTTATAGAAACTGTAATATATTGTGATAGTGCATAATAATGGTTTCTTCTTCTCAACGTAGTTGCAGTAGCAGAAGTAATGTTAATAAAAAATCTTCAGGAATATCGTTCCACAGGTTAGTATACAAATATGTAAACAAAGTAATGGCCCGTACTTCAGAGAATAAATTAATACTATTTGACTGTATTAATTTATCTTTATATATAATATATGGTGTTTTTAGTGTTTACCGCGGGATAAATAAATCATAGTTTATTAAAAATGTACTGCACTTTTTTAGATTATGATTAAATCTTCTGAATAACTAGTCATATTTGTATAGTAGTTTTATTATGATTGAGTCTGGCCCTGATGTCACCGCCATATTGGTATTATAGTTAGCCACTCCTACCTATGCCGTTTTTAATACATACGTTAATATGCTCATAGCTTCTCCATAGATTCTAACTCGATGAGAATCCGTGATGAATATCCAATGCTTGCCAAAATGACTCCCAATTCTTCTTCCGTTCCCAACAACATATTTGTGCGAAACAGGATTCTCAGCATATGCAGCCACGAAAACAAAATATCGCAATAGACTGGACGCCGAACCTGATATGAGACGTCAAATGTCCTCTATCAACCAATTGCTGTAAAATAAAAAGCAGTTTCATACCTCCCATTAGTTAGAGATTTCTTATTTAATATCTTCTATGATTATACTTGTTATGTAAGTAAGTAATAAGTGACTATTACATTGTACTTTTATTACGCTTATTAATAAAGAATACACTTTTGAAAACTACTGTTTTATTGTAGGGTTCCGTCAAGTATTTCGCTTTCCAAAAGGGTTCCGTCACCAACAAATATTGAGAACCGCTGATCCTTAGGTGTTTTTAAGGAAGAGCATTTTAAAGATAAGGAATTTACAAAATCAATATTTTACCAAAGAAAATTAGAGAGATTAAATTAGAGAAATGAAAAGGTATACCTGTGTTTTATTTTAAATTGTGATATTTGTAATGCATATATTTTCGGATAGAGAGAATATATTTTTTGACATTTTGTTATTTTGTGGCTATTTTCATTTTCCCATTTAAAATATGTTTTGAATTTCCCGCCAAATGTTTTAGTTCATGGCCTAAACACTAATGTGATACTATAAAGAAGCTCTCTTCCTACTTCTTACGATGGGAGATACTATGCCAGAGAGGTAGGAAGTATGATATACTAATGTTTGCAAATAATAATACTTGCAAATGTTTGGAAACTATCGGAGAAGAAAATGCTCTAAACGAATTTAATAAATTTTATTATGTTCAATCACATGATGCCCAGCGCGCATTACTATGTTCGTATGTCCAAGAAGTCGAAATCAAAAGAAAACGAGTAAAAGTATCAACTACTAGAAAATTTAGTAGAGTGTATAAATTATGTGGCAAAACTGTTTGTAAAGATTTCTTTTTACAAACGCTAAGAATATCAAGTTGTAAAGTTGATTCAGCTTTGAAAAACATGAAGCGACCAGAAGGAGTTCGTGACTGTCGGGGCAAAAGTGGTGGTAAAAATAAGAATGATCCCATTCGACTTCAGGAAGTTATGGACCATATTCACAAATTTCCCAAATACAAGTCCCATTACAGACGATCAATCACAGAAGCAGAATTTCTTACAGAAGAAACAACTGTTGCAAAAATGTATGAGTTGTACTCCGAAGAATTGAGAAATATAGTGAGTTTGTCTTAAAAAACTTAAGAAAGATACTTGTAATGTGTGTGATCGTTTAGAAAATGAAATTTATCATTATCCATTGTGTGGATAATGATAAACTACTGATTTTAAGAAACGAAAAAGATTTACATTTGGAAACAGCAGAAAAAGCACAAAATAAAAGAAAAGAAGACATGCTTGCAGCTAAGAATCAGCTTGATACAGAAACTCTATGTTTTGATCTGGAGAAAACTCTGCCTCTTCCTAGAATCCCGACTAATATAGTCTATTATAGAAGGCAGTTGTGTGTATACAACTTAGGCATACACAGTGGACAAACGAACAAAGGACATTGCTATGTTTGGATTGAAGGAGAAGCAGGTAGGGGTGCTCAAGAAGTTGGCAGCTGCCTTAGAAAACACATTAAAGAAAATGTGACTTCCAAGAAATTAATCCTTTGGTCTGACTCATGTGGTGGCCAAAACCGCAACATCAAGATTATATTAATAATAAAAACAGTTTTGGAAAGTCACCCTATTCTTTAACAAATTACATTGAGGTATCTTCTCCCAGGACACAGTTTTCTATCCACCGACTCAGATTTTGGAGATATCGAATCTGCACTCAAACTGCAACAACGGTTGTATACAGTAAATGATTACATCGAAATTATGAAAGCATGTCGTAAAAAAAATCCTTTAGTTGTGCACAGAATGACAAATGAAGAGTTCGTGGGAACAGAAATATTGAAAAAAAAAACAAATTACCAATCGTAAAACTGATGTTACAAATGGTAAGGTGAGTTGGCTCAAAACAATCGAAATTATCATTCAAAAAGAAAAACCTCGTACTATTTTAATGACAAGTGACTTTAATCAGGATACTTTCATATAAATAGATATTTCTAAAAAACAAGGAAAAGGAAGACCCATTATTCAATATCTCCGCAATTTTAGTGGACACTTGGTTCCACTCTGGCCACAAGGTAAACCTATTTCTAAATCAAAATTAGACGATCTAAAATCTTTACTGCAATTTATAACATTGGATGCAAAACCAGTGTATACGTCCTTATTTAGTAACAATGATGTGGAAGATAACATTGAAGGATTTAATGGTGAACTTGATTTTCCAATAGGTGACCAATAAAGTTAGCAATCTAACAAACTGTATATTTTTCTTGGTATTTTTTTGTAATGATTCTTTCCAATGTGTAGATTAAAAATGTTTTTTTTTATTAAAATGGTTTTTTTAGTTTTCCTCTTTTTAAAACTCTGTATAACTAAATTTTTTTATTGATATAATTTTATCTGCATTAGAATTAACACTATTGAATGGTAAAATAAATTTAGAGCAATAAAAGGCAAAATAAATATATTCAATGATTATAGAATTAATTATGTTAAAGCAATATACGTTTAACATAAAATTTTAAAAATACTAGTTTTATTTTAGTGATTACAATAGCCCTATCGCAGTATTTTGTTTTGCATTAATAGACCAGATGACATAAATGGTAGTTGGTCTAGTAATGTATAACGACTAAACTTCCTGAAATATATTTAAAGCATAAGTAGACCAAGCGCCATTTTTTTTTAGAATATGGTAGGTGCGATTATATTGAAACTTTGCAGCCAAAAATAGTTGTACGTGATCATTCTTCTGCTAAAATTTTGTGCAAATATATTAATAAATGTATTTTTAAGAAACGAAAAACTTTGAACCCATTTATCTCAAAACTATGTTTTGGCGCTTGGTCGAGTTATGCATAACGCCGTCCAGTTCGTCTCTGGCTAGCAAGATAAAAACCTTTCTCAACGCGAATCATGGATTCCCTAATGTTATTTACATAGATAAAGCAAATAAATGGTTTTAGATAACAAACGAGACTTTCCATGCGTAACATTATAAACCTCTCAAAGTTATGTAACCATGTTATGAAACCTTGTATATTCTCATAACAACAAATTATTATTAGTACTGAAAATAAAATAAAAATAAAATCCATACACTGTACCTATTTAAATTTATATAATAGTAAAATTATACATATATATGTAATAAAATTATATACTTACCATATAGTAAAAAATGAAAATACTGCAATAACCAAAACTTTATCCATTTTGTAGCAAACTCAAAATTACTATGCCTATTAAAGTTATCAATAAAACAAAAATTATCAATATTTAAATGTAATTTCATTTAAATGCACGTAAAATATTAAGATAAGATTACTAAAAAAAAAAAAAGAATTTGATCGTTTTCTTAAAAAAAGTTAATCGTTTGATAATTATTAGGTAAGTAGTAATAAATTGTTTGACGATTATGTTATACAAATTTTTGTTAATAAAATATCTGATCATAACATAAATACTTTCTTTTATTTCTGTTTTTTTCTATTACTTCTCAATTTATTTGAACCTCGACAGATTTGGATAAACAATATCGTTAGAAGCGGAAGTTCATACTAAACTACCTCTATATTAAACTCATATCGAGTGATTGCAAATCGTACTTAACCTTTGTATTGTCTCTGGGTACGCTTGGACCCAGTAGTAAAATTCAAATGTTGATATATTTATTATACCGTAAATTTGAGACGTGATGTTTCATATTCTTAAGATAAGGTTTATATACAATTTAACGTATTTGCGTTTTGAAACATCAGTTTGGTTTTCTTTGAAATGAAAGAAACACATCTGTTATTTATGGGTCCATCTGTACCCAGAAGTGTTTCCAAATGTACGTGATGTTTGTTTTCTTTATTTTTCTGAGAAGGGTTATAAGATTTTATGGGTTCTATTTCGGAAGCGTTTGTCGAGTATCTTTAGTGTTGTACCAGACTTAATAGCTTGAAGTTTAGAGTTGAGTGTGTGGTGTACAATAATTTGTGAAAAACAGAATAATAAGTGCTTGCTGAAAAATGAGAGAACTCACGGAAGAGGAATTACGAAAAATCCTTGAAAAAGACTCAGAAAATCAAGATAAATCTACCATTTTAGAAACACTCACTAGCGATGAAAAGTTAATAGATAAAGAATTTTCTGAAAAAAATCATGTATCTACAGTTAATGATGACAAAGATGTAAGCGAAAATTCGGAAAATGAAATAGAAGTTCCTGAACAAAAAGATTTAAAATATACTGCTCGCGATTGGAGAGTTTAGAACAAATATCCACCACCTCAGTCACGTGTAAGGTAAGTGGTGGCTCAATTGGTTAGATCCATCAATATACTAAATCCTGTGTCAAGTCCCACCAGATATGCCACTCAACGAATTACAGATGAACCTATATCCTCAATGAGATTGTTTTTCACTGATGAAATGCTCAATTTACTCTTAGTGGAAATTAACAAAGAACGTGTTCGTATATGTAATGAAAAATGTTAACTGTAAAAGAAATATCACTGGAGGAGTTAGAAGCTTTTATAGGTAAATACTTTCATTACAATCATAAAATAAATTAACTTGAAATTTTACATTTTTATTCAAGGTTTACTTCTTCTGACTGGTGTTCATAAAGGTGCCGGAGAATCTCTGCAGGAACTTTTGAGCAATTCTGATGGTAGGTCTATTTTTAGAGCTACTATGTCTCTGAAACGATTTTATAACATCAGCCGCTTTTTGCGATTTGATAAAGAGGATATGCCTATTTGACGGAGGAACGACAAGTTAGCTCCAATTAGAAGTTTTTTTTGATTTATTTGTAGCACAACTTCAAAATATGTTTGTTCCATATAAAAGCCTCACTGTCGATGAACAACTTGTAACATTTAGAAGTTAGTGTCCCTTTAGACAATATATTCCAAACACAACCACGTGGGAAATATGGAATTAAATTATGGATTTTATGTAATGTCAAAACTGCGTATGTGTATTGTGCAGAAGTGTATATAGGAAAAGCAAAAAATCAGCCCCGTGATGTATATCAGGGCAGAAATGTGGTTTTACGACTGATAAAATATGTTCAGAATTCTGGGCCAAACACAACCATGGACAATTTTTTTACTGACTACCATTTAGCGACTGAATTATTAAAACGTAAACTTACACTGTCGGTCAGATAGCCAAGCGGGCTGGGCGGCCGGCTTTTCATTTGCTTCACTGCGAGTGATGTGAGTTCGATCCTTGGCTCGGTGTACAGAAAACAAAAAGGCTAACGCAGCAGTTTAAAATTCTAAATAAATCTGTGGCTTAGACTAGAATATGCTGGTGTCAGATCGGCCTATGGTGGAGCAGTACGGCAAGAGATAAAGGCTTGAGGCTCGGTGATACTCCTCCATAGATCCTTACCGGAAGGGCGTGTGCCGCCTAAATACCGGGTATATATATATATATATATATATATATATATATATATATATATATATATATATATAAATAAATAAATAAAACAAATTCAGCCAAAATAGACGCGATCGAAAAATACCCAATTCCGAAAACAGCAAAGAAAATAAGAGCATCATGAATGTGTTGCTTGTGTGAGTCCATTTCAAATAGGTTAAGAAATAATAAATAAGACTTACTCACAATCAATTTAATTTAACTATCCAGACGACCACATTTAACCATTCATTTTGAAAAACCACAGGCATGTAATATTGGCATAATTACTGTAATATACAGATTTGGAAAAAAAATTGCGGACCATAGGATTTTTAATACAGCTCAAATCCTTTGATGTGCAATTATACCAGTGTAAATTTCAATACAACGTCGCGATGTTTTATGATTAATTCATTTGTTCGACTGGAGTCTCAATTCACGAAGCGATGCTGCCAGTGTAAGTGTAAAAACGAAACACACCTAGAACGCATGTCAATTCAACGAAAACGTACTTATTTATAAATGTAGATATTAAAATATTTTATAACTAAAAAAATGGTTATGTTTTATTGCCAAAACGGCTTGAAAAAAAAATTGATTTCTAAAATTAAAAATAAAAAGGAATTTTAAAAATAAAATAATTATATCTCTATTTAATTTGAAATTATAAACAATATTTGGAATAATAAATGTATTTAAGTATAAATTTTATAACTCAAATAATACCTAATGAACACAAACAAAATTGATGTTAATAAAACATTATTTATTATCTGCATAAAACCGGACTTTCAGGAAAAATCAGTAGACGGAGCAACACTGTCGGTGTGCCATATACGCTACTACAATCCGCTGAGGAGAAGTAATCCAGTGGAACAAAGAAATTAGTTATAAAACATCGCGACGTTATAAAGAAATTTACACTGGTTAATTGTAACGCAGAGAATCTAAATATTTGTATTAAAAATCCTATGTTCCGGATTTAAAATTCCAAATGTGTATATCATCTACTTTGTTTATCTTTATTAGACAACACCCTAATATGGGTTTATTATTATTTCAGCATTTATTTAACTTTGTATCGAGACCTGAAGATGCTTTGCATATTGTACAAAGCAAAACTGGTCGTCTGTATAGTTAAATTAAATTGATTGTGAGTATGTCTTAATTATTATTTCTTTACCTATTTGAAATAAGATGATTTTTGGACTCCTGGGATATTACAAGAAGTTTATTCGAGATTTTGCAAAAATCACAAAACCTATAACAAAATGATTGAAAAAGGATGCTAAAATCAAACATACACCCAAATTTGTAGAATGCTAACACATGCAAAAAATTATTAGTGAACGAGCCGTTATTGCAATACCCGGATTTTTCCAAACCATTTAATCTCACAACAGATGCCAGCAATAACTTTATTAGAGCACTACTTTCTCAAGGACCAGTTGTCAGTGATAAACCGATTGCTTTCGCTTTCATAACATTAAATGAAACATAAACCAACTAGTCAACAATAGAAAAGGAAATGTTAGTAATAGTGTGGGTAACTAAGCATTTCCGACCCTACGTATTTGGAAGGAAATTTAAAATACTGTCAGATCACCACCCCCTGCACCACCCCAATTTCTTGGAACAAACAAAACAAAAAGAAACAGGAAACACCTCTAGTAATTTAATATAGGGCGCCACTTCGAGGTGCCTAATTATAACCATTACAACAGCTAGTTGTAACTAGAGAAATAATTATTAAACATAAAAAACATATATTTTTACAATGGAAACTCAAAAAAGGGTTAGTTAAAAAAAGAATAAACAAATCGTTAAGAAAACAAAGTTTAACATTTATTGTGTCTTACACAAAATTACATATAGATTAACAGTTACAGAGAACAAAAATAACAAAAAAAATTACATGTGTCCTAACCGTTTACAAATTCTGTTGCTACAAAACTTGCATGGAGGTTAACCTTCTTTAAAAATAAAACAAACTAAAATCAAAAAATAATAAGTTACCAATTAATTAAAAAAAAAAACTGAACACACAAATTGACAGCTAAAGTCAAACCCTAAAATTTTATAATTTATTAATTATTAAAAATCCTCTAAATTTTAATGAAAGCAATTATATTGTAACGATGAGTCCACGTCACAATATTATTAAAAAAATGTCTACTTTACTTTAAATCTTTGCACAAAAGTTACCTGGACTGCATTGGGTTTTACACTAGAATTCTGGAACTATAACTGGAACTAAACAAACTGCTTCAGCAACAAATCAGGAACAGCGAGATTGAAGAAGCACTTCAACTAGAAACAAACTGGAACATCAGAATTGCTGCAAAAAATACTTTTTAACCTCCTCTGTAACTAGACATACTTAACAATTTACTTTTGACTGCTACATATTTCCATAAAAAGGGGCCAAAAACAGAAAACTACAAATTCGACGGATGAATTTGGATCAATATCTGAGCCTACAGCGACCCAAGTAAGAATGACGAAATTATCTTAAAAATTCGTTCACACCTGTATTTCAACCTGAAATAAACAAAACGCTGAAATAAGCAAAACACAACGAAAATTAGGAACGAAATTATCTTAAAAATTCGTTCACACCTGTATTTCAACCTGAAATAAACAAAACGCTGAAATAAGCAAAACACAACGAAAATTAGGACGTAGATTATGAATTTGAAAACGCAATACTTCGGGCGGCATAAATCAAAGAATTATCGATAGCAAAATACGAAGCCACGAAATAAATAAACAACTCTAAAATGGTTTTTATTACTTGAAAGAAATTTAAAGAATTCGGTGTTTTAATATGTACAAATAGGAAACTGAAATACATTAAAAAATATTTTGCGATTTTTCAAACATATATGAGGGGATTTCAATATATTACATATACGAGGGGATTCGAATATATACCAAAGAATCAATAAAATTGTAAATGCTACAGGACAAGCAAAAATTTACAGTACTAACACAACCAAGAACTAATAAAGTAAGAAAAATAATATCAACAAGAATTTCAATAAATTAATTTTTAGCATTAACCATTAATTGCAAGCAAGGAATATTCTGGACCAATTAAATTTGCCTCTTCACATTATTCAAAGTTTTATATATATTCAAGAATAACAATCTCAGATAAACTGCTTAGTGCTTTCTAAAATTAGGACCACAGAAATTCAAACCATTCAGGATAGACCGCATCCCTTTAGACAAACTCCATAAACCCTCTAGGGAAGAAGAACATATTGAGACAATTAACGCAAAATCGTGGAACCATAGACATAGCCATTTTTGGACAACTCTTGTATATATCTTTATTAAAATTATCTGGCTTATATATGTTACAGGTTCAAAATTCTATCAACTAAACTCTGGATTAGTTATAGTACAATGATCATGATCGCTAGAATCCAGTATACTCGATCACGCGAATTCAATAAGAAGTTACCGCCTATCAGCACCGAACCCTCTGGAATCTTGGAACATCAATTGGGATGAATTAAAAGAGCATGTAGACTTATTATAAAAAAAGCATTGTAAAACCGCCCTCATAGATAAATATTATAGTATACCTCCCTTTTTTCGTTTGACATTTTTATATTAGTGTGATATTAGTCTGACAATTTGACAAATATGTTTGTATTTGAAGTCTGAATAATATATTTTCACTCCCACAAATTTGATTTTTCACTTTTTCATTTCCAAAATTTGAATTTTTGTTTCGCTAAATCTTTCGTCTGTAAAAAAAATGGTTTTGAGTCCTTATAAAGACCCGGTATGAAATGCTGTCTGCAGCCTCTGGATATGTATTCAGTTGATATTCTATTGATTGTCTCTCTAAATATGTAGCTCTCAGGGGTAGGACTCAGATTATTGATGGACATGTCTTTGATCACTGCAAAGTTTACCTATTTAGCATTTTTAAAATTGAATCTTATGCGAAATGGGACTTTTGTGGTTGTTATTATTACGCAAACCTATATTATGATAGGTTTATGTTAAGTCTTTTGAATTACAGAAACAGATCCAAAATTACAGCAACCGAAATTGAGTTCATGAGAAGTCGTAGCGTAACATGACTGGGTATTAGAAATTAGGAGATAATAGGAAGAATGGCAGTAGAACGGAACATCCTAATCTACATTAAAGAAAAACCTTTAATAAACACGTAAAATAAATTGAAAATGATTTGCTTTAAATTATGAATCAAAGGTATTAGAAAAATAAAATAGATAGATGTTTTTATTTTATATATTTATTTCTAAAATTATAAAAACCTCTTCAAGACATTTAACTTTTACAAAACAATTCCCTCTTCCCCAACTTTCAATCTTCTAAACTTATTGGTAAGTATTTAGTTGTCAAACTTATATTGATTATTTGGGTAACCATGCTGCAGCAGGAAGTTTTGATAAAACTTGATCCATTTCTTGCCTTGCGAAGGCCTTGGCATATTGGACGAATATAGGGTTAATGGCGTCCATAACGCGACGAGGATTTTCATTGTAGAAATCGGTAATTATATCAGCTAAAAATAAACAAAAAAATCATATAATCTGGTATTCTCTTAAAATAGTATAAAATAATAAATAATGTAATAAGATGTAACAATAAAACACTAAAAACTTTGTTTTCAAACTTCCACAAAATTTATTTTAAATATTATCACTACAGCTGTTTCGGCTGATTGCCTTTCTCAAGTGATCTATTTTGGCTTGGGTTTACAAATTTATACTCTCTAATGAAATAGGTTGAGGAGGGGAGAACTGTTTGTCTCAAGTTGGTCATTCAGAATTATATCTGTGTTTTTTAATTTGTTGATTTCCATAGATTCTAACAAAGATAGCTTAAGGCCTTTATTTTGAATGTGAAGAATTTTAAATTTGTCATTAAAGGAATGATTATGATCTAGAAGGTGAAGTACGTATGCCGAATCTGTTTTTCTATTCTTGAAAGCCCTTTTATGTTCTGCTATTCGTTTATCAAAGTTTCTTCCAGTTTGACCGATGTAAGTTTTTGGGCAGTCGCCACATTGAAGTTTGTACACACCACTATTTAAGTGTTTAATCGAGCAGAAGGTGAAGAATAGTGGTGTGTACAAACTTCAATGTGGCGACTGCCCAAAAACTTACATCGGTCAAACTGGAAGAAACTTTGATAAACGAATAGCAGAACATAAAAGGGCTTTCAAGAATAGAAAAACAGATTCGACATACGCACTTCACCTTCTAGATCATAATCATTCCTTTAATGACAAATTTAAAATTCTTCACATTCAAAATAAAGGCCTTAAGCTATCTTTGTTAGAATCTATGGAAATCAACAAATTAAAAAACACAGATATAATTCTGAATGACCAACTTGAGACAAACAGTTCTCCCCTCCTCAACCTATTTCATTAGAGACTATAAATTTGTAAACCCAAGCCAAAATAGATTACTTGAGATAGGCAATCAGCCGAAACAGCTGTAGTGATAATATTTAAAATAAATTTTGTGGAAGTTTGAAAACAAAGTTTTCAGTGTTTTATTGTTACCTAAAATGAATTTTCATCAAGTAACGGTCGAATCCATCAATAATGTAATAAGAAATTTTTGTGATATAGTCACCAAAAAACAAAACGCAATTTAAGAACGCCGTGAATCGCTTATTTCTACGAATCGATAGTCAGGCAATATAGGGTATGAAAACGATAATTCACAATTTTTTAAAATAAAATGAAATTAAATTTGAAAGCGGCTATGAATGTAATAGTAGCAGCAGCATTATTTGATACCATCACCATAGAAAATGGAGTATTGTCTCCTGTAGATCATAATCTAGATCAACAAGAAAACCATTTAATTCAAGCCATAAAAAGGGAAAAAGAAGACAATTTCCCTCAATTTCACAATGAAATTAAGAAAACATTATTGTGGATTATGTATTAGACAACATTTTGTAGAACTCGATTCACAATTTCTAAAAAAAATATTTCTATTAAACCAATTATTTTTGTTCTGAGGTAATTTACAAAGTATAAGTTTTAAGTAACAATAAAACACTGAAAACTTTGTTTTCAAAACTTCCACAAAATTTATTTTAAACTCTCATCACTACAGCTGTTTCGGCTGATTGCCTTTCTCAAGTGATCTATTTTTGACATGTGTTTACTTTATAGTCTCTAATGAAATAAGTTTAGGAGGAGAGAACTGTTTGTCTCAAGTTGGCCATTCAGAATTATATCTGTATTTTTTAATTTGTTGATTTCCATAGATTCTAACAAAGACAGCTTAAGGCCTTTATTTTGAATGGGAATAATTTTTAATTCGTCATTAAAATAATGATTATGATCTAGACGGTAAAGTGCGTATCTGTTTTTCTATTGTTGAAAGCCCTTTTCTGTTCTGCTATTCGTTTATTAAAATCTACCAGTTTGACCGATGTAAGTTTGTGGGCAGTCGTCACATTTAAGTTTGTAAACACCACTGTGTAAGTGTTTTTTATTTTGGCTCTTGTTGTTTTTAATATATTTGCCTAAGTTGGTATTTGTTCTGAAAGCTGGTGTTATTCCTTTCTTTTTTGTATGTTTGGCTATTTTTGTTGTATATTTCTATAGTTTAAATTTTTATTATCTTTAAATTTGATATGTAAGAGACATGTTGCTCCTAAATCCTTCTTGGTATTCCTATATCTCTTTACCTATCTCATTACCCTATATTTCATACTTGTGACAGTACAGTAAGCAAAAAAATACTAAGAATAATTGAAAAAAAATACAATACTTGGATCATGTGTTAGGAGGTGAAAGATATGAATTACTCCAAATCATATTGGAAGGTAAAGTGCATGGCAAAATATCAGTTGAAAGACGCCAGAAGTCGTGGCTGAAAGACCTGAGACGATGGTTTGGACGCTCATCCTTAGAAATCTTTCGTGTAGCAATTAGTAGAGTATAGAGACGGCATAATAATAAGAATACTGCGCTTTGGTCTTATAATGAATATACTGTATTTTGCTTCATTTTTATTTTTTGAGTATTCAAACTCCTACTAATACTTGTTCTCATCTATTGTCAATTTAGCTTACCCTTTCTTTTTCTTTTCTTCTTTTTTTCAGAGATGTTTCAAAAAATCTTTTCACATTTATTTTACAGAAATTTTTTATTTCCTTAGTAGTAATACCAACGAATATTTAAGCAGCTCCAGGTAATATTAGAAGGCAAAATCGAGGGTAAAAGGGGTATAGGAAGAATGAAGAAATCCTGGCTCCGAAACATTAGAGATTGGACTCACACAACAGGAAATGACTTAATCCATCAAGCCCAGAACAGAGAGAAATTTGCCATATTGATCGCCAACCTCAATAGAGAAGGCACTTAGTAGGAGGAAAACCAACAATAACATAGGCATTTATTTAAAAGAAAAGTGTAACATTATGCTAACGAGATTTTTATTAGTTAGAACCAACACATCTAGGCATATTCATATAAAATTTTACAAAAATTCCAACTGTAACAGTTAATTAAACTATTTATTTAAATAAAATTGTTACATTACCTGCATATTGGAATTCCTTTTGTTTGGACGTGAGTTTCACCCATCCATTACCAATTCGAGCTTTTAGATAAAGCTTGTTGGTTTTAAAATATTCTTCTCCATCCTTAAGGTAAGTTTTTAAGTCACCTTTCATTAACACCTGCGTATCAGCTGAAATATAAAGTATGTTAAGTGAAATTATTAGTACGTAATTACGAAAATTCTTCAGAGGTTATCTGAAAGATTACTCAGTAATGTCAACAGGTATTAAATAAAAAATTATTCTGAGAAATGTTCCAGAAAAATTTGTCATTGGAAGAGATACTGAGTGCATTTATCTTGCTCAATAAGGTGGCTTATATTGTCAGTGTGAGATGTTACAAATATATAGGAAACAGAAGTAATTAGGACTCGCAGATCTTTGGACAGTGCAGCCAGAAATACCTTTGGTGTATATCCTACATCGATATTTGTGATGTACAGATATGATTTTGACTGACTATGACTTTGCATCAATAAATACTTAAACTAGGTTTACGATACTTTCTCTTTATTTTTGAAAGTATGGTATGTAAATCTTCTTCTTCTTCAGCCTTCATTTGTCCATTGTTGGACATAGGCCTCCTCCAATTGCTTCCACGCTTCCCTATCTTTTGCAATTCTCATCCACTGTTTTCTAGCTACAGCTGTTATATCGTCTATCCATCTCTTTTAGGGTCTTCCTACGCTTCTTTTTGTTTCTCGAGGTCTCCAGAATGTCACTTTATGAGACCATCTGTTGGTGTCTTGTCTTGCTACATGTGCTACCCATTGCCATCTCAATGTCGCTATTTTTCCCATGATGTCGGTTACTTTAGTTCTTTGACGTATTTCGGTGTTAGGAATTTTGTCTCTGAGGCTTATATTTAACATGGCTCTCTCCATGGCCCGTTGAGTTACTCTTAATTGCTCTGCCATTTTTCTTGTTATTGCCATAGTTTCCAACCCATAAGTTGCAACTGGTAGTATACAAGTGTCATAGGTTTTTCGTTTTAAGTGAATTGGGATTTTTTTGTCTTTTAAAATAAAGCAACTTACCAAAAGCAATCCATGACAATTGTGTCCTTCTTTTAAGTTCTAGGGTTTGGTTTTCCTTTTCGTTTTTAATTGCATGTCCTAGATATATATATATATATATATATATATATATATATAATATATATATATATATATTTATATATTTATATATATATATATATATATTTATATATATATATATATATATATATATATATATATAATAAAGTTTTATATAAAACTTTATTTTACATAACGTGTCAGTCAATAATACCTAACTACTTTATATATATATATATATATATATATATATATATATATATATATATATATATATATATATTATATATAAATATATATATATATATATATATATATATATATATATATATATATATATATATATAAACGAAGAATGCTCACAGCTGTCCAATTATTAATTAGTATACTGGTAAGGTTGATTGGGTTAGCAGCTGAATAATGAAAGCCAAAGTGTGCTCTTTTCAACGATTTCATTATATTTCGTTAAATTTCTTTAACATCTTCAGACGAATGCTACAATATGTTACAAAATGGTGAAATTATGTATTTTACATAAGATGTAGTGAACACTTACTTGTGTGAGGTTGCAGGCAAAAGTAGTATTTGAAAGTTCCATGTTGAAAAACTTTTTTGAAGATTTTTTATAGCAAAAAAAGGAATAAGTTGTATGTGTTATATGGTGGCTTGAAAACTCAAACAATACAAGTGCATTTTTGTTTTTTTCCTCCAGTGTGCAAGTACAATACAAATATTAAAAAACGTTGAACATTTAAGAAACAAACAGTTAAAACACAACTACATATCACATTGTCATTTTTTTGGCAGCTATGTTGGTGGAAGGTCTAGTCAACTAATGCACAAGGAGGTGGAAATCTAGTATGTACCTCAAGATGTCAGTCTTAAATTAACATAACATAATTTTCAATTAAGTGTAACTTTACACATAAACTGAACACAGCTTTAGTTCTCTGGCTGACATCTCCTAATATGATAGCTGACAAGACACATCAACCTTGAGGTACATACTAGATTTCCACCTCCTTGTGCATTACTTGACTAGACCTCCCACCAACATAGCTGCCAAAAAAATGACAATGTGATATGTAGTTGTGTTTTAACTGTTTGTTTCTTAAATGTTCAACGTTTTTTAATATTTGTATTGTACTTGCACACTGGAGGAAAAAAACAAAAATGCACTTGTATTGTTTGAGTTTTCAAGCCACCATATAACACATACAACTTATTTCTTTTTTTGCTATAAAAAATCTTCAAAAAAGTTTTTCAACATGGAGCTTTCAAATACCACTTTTGCCTGCAACCTCACACAAGTAAGTGTTCACTACATCTTATGTAAAATACGCAATTTTACTATTTTGTAACATATTGTAGCATTCGTCTGAAGATGTTAAAGAAATTTAACGAAATATAACGAAATCGTTGAAAAGAGGATTTTGGATTTCATTATTCAGATGCTAACCCAATCAACATTACCAGTATATATATATGTATATATATATATATATATATATATATATATATATATATATATATATATTGGTCTACCTTTTCTATCTTGATGTTATCTATCGTGGTGTTTTCTAGGCTGTTGCTTAATATCTTTGTTTTGTCGAGATTCATTTTTAATCCTATTTGATTCGATTTGTGATTTAAATCTTGGTGTGTAAATAGGTATGTAAATGGTATTGTGTGTGCAAATGGTATGTAAATAGTAAAACAATATTTCTGCATTAGTTATTTTGCTAGATAATTTGGGGAAAAAACCGATATTGAAAGGCTACGACGAGGACCAAATTTATGTGTCGATGAGCGTTTTTTAGATAACCTGGTCTTAAAGCCGAGGAACTAGCCACAAGTTAAAAAAAAAGAGATAAAAACTCTCCAGGTGTTCAACAGTACCATTTCATGTACATACATATTATGTAGTACTCATTCTGATCATTTTTGGCACATTAAAGGTCATGTTGAACATTATGATGATGAATCATATCATATATATAAATATATATATATATAAATATATATATATATATATATATATATATATATATATATATATATATTATATATATATATATATATATATATATATATATATATATATATATATATATATAGCGAGTGTTTGCAACTTTAATTTTGTCGTTTCTCGCATCCCAATCGCCATAATTTCTTATCGGCCCAGTCTCCTTCTTGAAGACCTCTATTTTCCATTTCTATATGAATATTGGATATCCATTTCTTTCTTGGCCTTCCCCTTTTATTTCTCTGTGTAGGTCTCTAGTTCCAAACCTTTCGTGGTATCGTTTCTTCGTTCATCCGTCTCAGGTGTCCATACCATTTTAATTGTTTTTCGGCTATCGTATTCATTATTGTGTTCTTTACTTTCATTCTCTCTCTTATGTTTTCATTTCTTATGTGGTCAAACAAAGTTAACCCGGAACATCTTCTCCAGTACATCATTTCCGTTGAGAGGAGTTTTTGTGACATATTCTTGTTAAAGACCCACACTTCTGACCCATACGTCAGCACCGGCTGAATCATAGCCTGATATATATTTTTCTTTGTTTTCTTAGTTAAAGTTTTATTCCACAGGATCGGATGTAGTGTTTTTATCATGTTTTTTCCTTTTCCTATTTTTCTTGTTATATCTTTGTCGTCTCTCCCGTCTTCGCTTAGTGTAACTCCGAGATATTCGTACTAATCAACGTTTTTAATTAATCCGCTTCCTGTTTCCATGTCTTGACCGATGCCTCCTATATTCATGTATTGTGTCTTTTCGGTATTAACCTCTAATCCCCATTTTTTAAATTCGTCTATTAGTTTGTTTATCATGTACGTAGGTAGAAAGAGGAAGTCATGGCTGCGAAATATTCGAGACTGGACAAACATGACTGTAGACGAATTATTCCACGTTGCAAAAGACAGAGAAGCTTTTAAAAATGTGGTCGCCAACCTCCGTTAATGGGGACGGCATAGGAAGAAGAAGATCATGTACGTCATATCTTGTAGGTCCTCCGCAAGAAGTACCTGGTCGTCTGCGAAGAGGATTGTGTATATAGGAGTGTCATTTACCCATAAGCCCATTGGGCTGCATTTTCTCATCCAATATTTTAAAGCATTACCAAGATATATTTTAAATAGGGTTGGGGAAAGGCAAGAGCCCTGTTTGACACCCTTTGTTTGGGTGAAACCCTTGGAAATTTGGTTATAATACCAACCTTAATATAAGCTTGGTTATCTTGATATAGCTTTTTCACGGCATTTATATATACTGCACTTATACCTGCGTTTTCCAATGTTGTCCATAGTCTCTGCAGTGGTACGGAGTCAAAAGCTTTACGGAGATCTATAAAAGTGGCATGGAGTTTTAGTCCTCTTGCTAATCTCTTTTCCGTTAGATGTTTGAGAGTAAATACATTGTCGACACAAGATCTCCCTGGTCTGAATCCACTTTGTTCTTCAATCTCTGTGGCTTTTTTTTCTATTCTGGTTTTCAGAACTCTTTCATACAGTTTGCCAGTGGATGACGTAATGCTGATACCTCGGTAATTACTGCAGCCATTCCTGTTTTCCTTTTTGTAGATGGAGTTTATGTACGAGACTTTCCAATCTCCTGGGATACTTTCTGATATGAATCATATCATACCGTATGAAATCGGGTTGGAAAAGAGTCGGCGTATTTCATGTCAAATGTCACTTTTACGTCATATTGTAAACGTCTTAAGGGTATTAGTTGCATATCAGCTTCGAATTAGTACCGATTCTCCATCAAGTTAACAAGTTTGCGCATCAGGTTAAATGCTTAAAATTAACCATATAGGCAATATCCATATTTAAATCAAATCAAATGAGCCACTTTGTGACGTTTTCTTATAATGAATATTAAGGGCAGACACCACTAAATAGATCGTTCTGCCGTAGCATAATTACTGAAAAACATTGTATTTATACTTACTGAAATTTCCTTCAAAATGTCCTTTGCTTTCTAGAGGAATAACCAAAAGTTGTCCTTTAACATCATAGTCAAAATTGGTATACATCCATGGAATAAACAATCTAATTTCACCGTAGTGTTTAATAGGATCAGCTCTAAAATATAACAATATTTATCAGTGTAGTGAAATTGTTGTATCATGTTAAATTTTTGAACAAAATTAACAACCGGATTAAGATAAAATTGAATTTAGCGAAACATTTGTAGTAAAAATGGAATATAACACGTGATACATATTTATTTAATATTGATATTGTTTAGGAAACAGTATTTTTATTGGAAAATTCGCTTTTTCTTATTATAAAGACGGAGAGAAGCATCAAAGTACAAAAATTCATCAAATTCTAAACAATTCCGTTTTTGGTCTTTCACTTCTCGTATGAAAATTGATTTCTTTTTGGTGTAAAGCTCTTTTAGCGGCAAACCAAAGAATATAAGCGTCTATATTCTTTGGGCAAACATTTCGTTAAAAAAATTGTAAAATACACATTTTAGGTATTTTTTGCAACATATTGTAACTTTAATATTCCTAACAATGCAAATCTAAGAAAGGAAATGTGAATGCATTGTGTGATGTAGTAATTAAATGAAATTAAAGATAAAAAATGGAAAAATTGCGTAATGTTTATTAACAGATTTATAGGAACTGACATAATTTGCGTCCAAATATAAACATTTTATAGGAAAGTTGTACTTTTCACTTTTAAACTTTTATCCATAGGACATACTGATCAAAAAATATCGAATTTTTACCGTTGAGTTGATACAAATGTTATTCCGGTCGCTTCAAGCGTTGTTTCTAAGAGAACGGTTCATTTTACAAAAAAGTGCTCATGATGATTATTGTTTAAAATTATCTCAGCTGCAGGTTTTATTTGAAATATTTTTTTACGGCATACAGATTCTTTGTAAATCAATTTTTTCTGTTCCCCCTCCTAAGCGAGGTGTTTAACTAAACTTTTTTGCATCTATTCGATAAAAACTTTCATATATTCATAAAAACCCTATTCGATAGTTGCAACACAACCGGAGAAAAAAAAATATGGCTAAGCTGTTTCATTCTCTCTGTGGCTAAGCTCTTTTTACCAAAATAAATAAAAAGTGAAAATGTTTTAATATTTTTATCAGATACCCTACAATATTAAAGGAACATGCCAGTTGTCTTCTCCATACCATAAACAGAGTACCAGAAGTACTTAGAAGTAAATTTGATTTGGTCAAAAAATTAATATAACCAAAAAATAGTTTTTTAACAAACGTTAAAAAACCGTTTAACAGTTTAAAAAAAGTACCTTTACGTGTGCAAATGTATACAGAAAAAATACCAAGTATAAGATTGCTTTCGGAGTCCATAACTATAGGATGAGGAATATGGATTTTACCAGCAATTTTCTTCGCAAATCATTTTGATGCTATAAAAAACGTTGTTTTAGGTATTCAAATTGACTCACAGTATGTAACTGAAAGTCAAAAATTTAAGTAACGTACAAATTGCTCAAGAAGGTATGTTCATAAAAGTTAATTTTAGTTTTTTACCAGGTTTAATAAAGTCATTAGAATAAAGGAATTTATTCGAATAACTTTTTCTGTTTATTGTCAAAAAATTCCGGAAAATACCGGGTATTAAAAAACAGGGCTTCGATTGTTCGAGAAAAGTTGTTCGTATTTTTAAAGACAACTTTTCTGAAGATCTTACGACTTGGTTATTTTATTACCTAAATTAAAATATTGTTCTATAAAGTCAGTATATTATGTAGAACGAACTTTTTCTGACAAAAGGTAAAAACGAATTTTTAAACTGAGATAACCAAAATACGTTTAATATATTAACGTATCAGTGGGCAAAAGAGCAGTATATTTGACAGTTTTTGTAAATTACATGACTGATAAAAATCAAGTCTATAGGTTATTCCACGAATATACGACTGTTTGGAATTATTGCTACAACGAATATTTTACTGTACAAGTATGAAAGTAAATTGGTCTAATTATTATTCCATAAAAAAGGATCTTCTGTTACTATGACATATAAACTAAAATTATTTCAGTTAGTAGATGTTCAGATAGACGCAAAATTTATTGTGAAAATTAATCCGAAAATAACAAAAAATTTTACGTAAACGCTCCTACAAATAAATAGAATGACCTCTATGAAGTTAAAATGTGTTCATCAGCCATTTGAGTTGGATTTCGGTGAAATGTAAACATTAAAGAGGCGCGCCGGGTATCTTTATAACTTTATTACTTTAGGTACTACAACGGTAATAAAAAGAAATATATTATTTTTAATATAAATAAAAAGAAATTGGCAGAACGATGGTTCAGAAACCAGAAAAAGAATCTAGTATTCCACTTTGTTAGTTTTTTGTTTGCTTTGAGTGGATATACTCTTAAAAGTTCCGAAAGTAACGGGTATAACATGGCGGCTATTGATAGTTAAAGTACCGAGTCATTACATATATTAAAAAGTAACGAAAATTTACATACAGTTTCATAAATCGCCGACTGATTTTAGTTTTAAAAACTGTCCGTATAGAGGTGTCCGGTGAAGAGACGTGTCCGTTAAGAGAGAGTTTAGTGTAGTGTATTTGTTTGTAATGATGATTAGGAGAATAAGAGTAAGAGTAAGTTTTTTTGTTTTTTTAATACTTATTGAATATTCGACTAAATAAATTAAACTATTTTTTTTTTATTTAAAATTAACGTGTCTCGACAGCTTATGGTCATTGACACGGGTACAGTAGTTTACAACATTATACATATTTTATATAGGTATAGGTACAAGAATTTAATATGAACATTTTTTTTATAGAAAGGTTAGAACAATAAAGCTTATCACTATGCACTGTTTATATTAGCTGAAATAAACTTGTTTCTTTTAAAAATCTAAGAACACTGTCAAAACGCTTTGGAACACTGAGAATGTCTTTTAGATTTCCTTTTAGGCTGTGCTTGTTTCTGGAAGAGTCATACTGGCAGCAGTCCACTATCACGTGTTTGATGGAAAGGGCGTTATTACAGTAGTGGCATACTGGAGGGTTTTCTGATGCCATAAGGTATCCATGAGTGAGGCGTGTATGCCCTATTCGTAGTCGGTGAATAACTGATTTTTCTTTCCTGTTCATAGAGGAGATATTGACGCGAGATAAGTTGGGCTGAACTTCATGGAGCTTAGTTTTTGTTTTACTCCACAGGTCCGCCCATGAGCTAAGGATTTTTTGTTTTATCAATATTTTAAGATCCGTATGGATTTGGACCTCTTGGAAGGCTATGTCAGAAGAACATGCTGCTTTAGCGGCTTGGTCTGCTTTTTCGTTTCCCAATATACCAACATGAGATGGAGTCCAGATTATTATGACTTTTATGTTAGCAGAATATAGTTGGTTACAGATAGTGTGGATTTCCTGGACTAGTGGGTTTTTCGAGAAAATGCATCTTATTGAATAAATCGAGGAAAGAGAATCAGTACAAATGGCGATTTTTATGCTTTCATTTGAAGTAGAACGGATTGAAGTCTTTAATGCTTGGAGTATTCCATATAATTCTGCGGTATAGATACTACAACTTTTAGGCAATCGCACAGAGGTTATTGTCGTCGTCAGTGTGGACACAGCGGAGCCACAACAGTCTTCATTCTTGGACGCATCGGTGTATAAAATTTCATCAAATTGTGTTAAGTTAAGGATGTTTTGGAAGGATTTTCTAAGGATTAAGTTTGGGGTTTCTGTTTTGTCGAATCTGCATAAATCTGTATTGAATATTGGAAGATTGTGCATCCATGGAGCTGTCTTGGGGTATAAATAGAAGTAGTATTGGAGAGGTTGATGGAATCTAATAAAGGAGATAATATTTGTGGTAATGTGAGAGACTGATTGGAAGCGTTTACTGGGGGAGGTTCTATGGGATTGATTAGATTTATCACCGGGTTACTTGGGTTTGCTGATATTCTTACAAAGTATGAAAGTAGAAGCTGCTGCCTTCTTAGATGGAGTGGTGGCTCTGAAGATTCAACGCACAGACTTTCAGCGGGGCTTGATTTGAAAACACCGAGGCATAGTCGTAGGGATGTATTTTGAATCGTGTTTAGAGACTTTAGTAGGGAGCTACTAGATGTCATATAAAGAATACTGCCATAATCTAGCTTAGAGCGAATTAACGCTCTATATATTTTAAGAAGAGATTCTTCGTCAGCTCCCCAAGAGAAGCTAGCAAGAGATTTAAGTAAATTGATTCTTTGGGTACAGTTTCCTTTAAGTTTCTGAATATGCTGTCTCCAGATAAGCTTTTTATCAAAGGTGATACCAAGAAGTGTCAAATAATTAACTGTTTGTAAACGAAGTCCGTTTAGAGTTATAGAAGGTGGATTAGGTCTATGCTTTTTGGTAAAGTGAATTACTTTGGATTTAGGAGCTGAAAACACAAATCCAGCACGCGTAGACCAGATGTCTATTTTGTTTATTGTGTTTTGTAGCAAAGTGCTTGTGGTAGTCGTGACTCTGCCTCGGCAGTATAATATAATATCATCGGCATATAACGAGTACCTGACTGGTGGTTCTATATATGAGGAAAAGTCATTCATGCTAAGTAAAAATAAGGTAGTGCTTAAGACTGAGCCCTGAGGCAAACCGTTGTCCAAAGCGTGTGGTTTTGATATATTTCCATTTGTTAATACTCTAAAATATCGACTTGTTAAAAAAATTTTTAAAAATAAATAAATGTTACCAGTTAAATTATATTCCGTTAATTTTCTTAGAATTAGAGGTCTTTGTACAGTGTCGAAGGCACTTTGGATATCTAAAGTTACTGCTATGACTTCGCTTCTATTCGAAAATGCATTAACAATGTCAGTATGTAATGTGACCAGGTTATCCATTGTACTTCGATTTGATCTGAAACCTGTTTGGAATGGGTCAAGAATATTATTTCTTTCTAGATACCATAGTAAGCGTTTATTGACCATCTTTTCTAACAGTTTACATAGTGAACAAGTGAGAGAAATTGGTCTATATGATTTTAGAAGATTTGGAGATGAGTCATTCTTTTTAATAGGAATTGTAGTTGCTTGTCGCCATAACGTTGGGAACTGGTTTTGAGA